TATAAAAATTAAATTTTATTAATTTTATTAAAAATTTATATATAATTTATTTATATAATTAATAAATAAATTTAAAAAGTAATATTATATTTTAATAATTATATTATAAATATAAATAATTAAAATAAAAATAATATTTTAATAAATAATTATTAAAATTATTAATTAATAATAATTTTATATTTTATTAAATAAATTATAAAATTTTATTTTATTTTAAATTTTATTTTATTTTATTATTAATTATTTTAATAATTCATATTTGATAATTTTCTTTTTATTTTAAATGGAAATATATATAAAAAAGAAAATAAATTTAAATATATTTAATATTTAATTTTTACTGCTGCTAGTAAATTATAGAAATCTTTTTTAAAAGTTTTTTTCTATTATTAAATACTAAAATATCATCAAATTTAATATAAAAAATATATTTATTATATTTACAGTTTTTCTTATATTTATTGTCTTTTTTTTAGCTTTATAATCTTTTAAATATAAATAGAGATCTATTTAATTTATATTTATATTATTTTTTAAAGTAGATTCTTTTAGTATTATTTCTATATTTTAATAGTTTTTGCTTAATTTTTTTTAGTAGTCTTTTATAGATAATTCTTTAATTTATTCATAATCAGTAGAGTTTAATTAAGTTAAAATCAAAAATATTATCATATTAAATCATTTAATAGATACTATATATATTGTAAATTTAATATTAAATATAATAATTATAAGAAAAAGCTTTATTCTTTTAAATAATTATATTTAAATATTTTTTTTCATACTTTTTACTAAAAAGAGAAAGTGTGAGAATAAGAATTTTAATTTAATATTAATATTAATCTATATCATTATTACTGTTATAGAAAAACTTATCTGTTTTTTTATTTTCATTTTCATATAGATTTTATGCTGAATAATTGATAAAGATTAAGTTATTTTATTTTATTTTTTATTTTTTATTTCTTTTATAACTAACTTTAATTTTTTATTTAAAATATTAATAATTTTTAAAGATTTAGTTTTTTTAAAGTAGTTTTAGAAAGCTAGTAATAATAAAGCTCTTTTTTATTATAAAATAATATTTAAAAAATATAAACTCAGAAAAACTCTTTTATTATTTCTGAATATAACTTTATATAAAGTTTTTTTTTTTTTGATTTATCATATTTAATATTTATCATATTCAATATTTATCATATTAATAAAAAAATAATAATAAAAATTTTATTAAATTAAATAAATAAATTTTAATCTTTAAAAGTTTAATTTTTATATTCAAGATAGAATTGAAGTTATTATTAACTTATTTTCTTAGTTTGTTCAAATTTTTATATTGATTTTATTATTTAAAATTTAGTAGTTTTTAGAATTTTTTATATTTTAATAACAAAAATATTGAAATATTCTAGAATGAGTTTATCTACAATATCAGCATAATTTTTTTTCTCATTTATATGAATCAGTTTATATCTTGATAATAATCTATTATTAAATTTCAGATATCTGTTTAGAAGATTAGTCAGAGTAAGAAACATCTTTTAATCAGTTATTTTAAATAACTAGTTAGAGATTAATAATTTGATTTAAAGCCTCTTTCTATGACATAAGCATATATTAAGTTGATTAATTGAATAGATAGATTAGTTATCTCTAAGATCTCAATAGAAGTCTTTTTCTCAATAGATTTGAGTATAATCACAAGAGCATAAGTAGCAATATCAGTATTTTAAACCATATTGAAAGAAGAATTGAATTTGAAAAGAAATGTAAAAATCAATATATCAAAATATATAATTTTTCATATATTAATGATTAGCAAAATTCTGTGAAATTAAGTTTTTATAACATTATATGACATCTTAATAGGAAGAAACTTTTGAAAGAGATCTCTGTATATTATATTTAATTCTATCATCTAATTATTAATATAAAACAATTTTTGAAAAACTGTAAGTTTAAGCTGCAGTTTTTAACAGAGAAATTAGTAATATTTTCTATTTATTTAATGAACTTTTTGTTGAAGTCTAGGCTTTCTATTATAAATTAGTGCACTGCATAATAGTATATAACATCTTTGAGATAGACTATCAATACAATCACTTTAGACATTTAACAGATTATGATCTGAATAGCTTATTTTTCATTTTGAAGAGTCTTCTGCACTACTTTCACACTCTATTTCTTCTTCTTTAATTTGAGGTATAAAACATCTTGCAGGGACTGTATCATTGAATTGCAGTAAAAATTTGATAAAAAGTAACTGTTTTAAAAGCTTTGATTGCAGAAAGCACATTGAATCAAGAGGAGGTAAACAGATGTCTTTAAGAACATAAGCTGCAGGACCATTGGATACCCCTGCAAGCAACAACATGAATAGAAATGAACATGAATACAATATATCTATCTTTGAGCTTAGAGGAGAAACTGGTCAAAGAGATGAAATAAATATGAATGAAAGCAATATGAATATGATGCAAATGATGATGAAATACATGAAAAGACAGAATAGACAGATAGAAAGACTCATACAAAGACTAGAAGAAAACTCAGATTTCTTGTCAAATACTACTAAGAATCTCATTAAGAATAAAGTTGAATTTTGCAAAGATGCAAAGATCAAGTTGAAAGAAAAGCATGCAATCATTCTCACTGAAGTCAACTATCTAAAATGAAAAAGCTCTATTCTTGAAGATGTTCATTTAATTCAGACAAAAAATATTCTCAATAAACAACAAATAGTACCTTTTACCACAGTTTCTCTGGAAATTAAGCTTTGAAATAAAAAAAATCAACTTCTTTATACAAGGATCTTTTAATCTTTAAATGCAACGGTATGTAATTCTCTAGAATCACTGGATGAAGATTTCTATCTAGCAGCAACTATTTAGAAGAATCTTGCTTAGTGCTATACTATATCTCATGCAGAAGAACATCTTCAAACCACTAAGAAGTTAAGAGACTTACAGCTCAAAAACAATAATTTTCACACCTATCTTGCAACTTTTCAAGATCTAAAGGCAAAAATTGTATCTCTAGGTGAAAATTAGGCTGAGGGTACCTATCATGATCTATTCATACTAGGACTGAGAGACTGGCAACAGGAATTTGTTAGAATAAAGCTGGATGATTTCTATGCCATCAAGCAGGGCCCTATTCAGAATCTGAACCTTGATGAATTGATGGATCAGTTGGCTACTCATGCCACTACCACTACAACTCATCCCAACCCATCTGCCGCGAATGCTGCCACTGAATGATTTGATGAACGCCAATACCACTACTGTGAGAATACAGGGTATATGACCAAACACTGCTGGTTCAAGAACCCAAATCTCACAAGCACTGAATGGCAGGAGAATAATAAGGAGCACATTGAGATATTGAAAAATAGGAATAGAAATAAGACTAAGAATAGGGATAAGAGCAAAGATAGAAATACAGAGGATCTACTTGCAAGTCAGCCAAGTCAAGCATTCTTTACAACAATTTCTCCAAATATTGAAGAACTTTTGAGAAGCCAGCCAGGTTATGGGTGAAATAAGAAAAGGATTTGATGGATACAGCAATTGGAAGACAAGATAGATTGACAGAGAAGATGGATATGATTGATTTGAGCAGGACAGTTGCTAGTCTGTATGATAGCTAGTCTGTACAGTAGCTAGTCCAAGGGGAGGTGTTGGAGCCTAGGCTTTCTATTATGGACTAGCACACCGCACAATAGTATATAGCATTCCTGAGATAGGCTACCAATACAACCACTTCAGACGTCCAACACTTTTTAAGTAGATATTTCATATAAAGTGCTTATTTTGAGGTGGTGAAGATAATTTCCGTTAAGTTGAAAGGTCAAGCGGGGTGGTCACCTGACCTATAGCTAATCTATTTATAGAAACAGCAAGCATAAACTTTGACGGAGGCATCAAGGGTCAACGATTCCACACGCCAAAGGTTCTTTTTTATTGTCAATACAACATATAGAATGTGATGGCAATTCCTCTGATATTATTCTGGTTCTCTTCTCCGGTTTTCCATCATATGGGGCTTGGAGGGCACAGCCGTCGTCTTTGGTTCAATGTCCTCTACCCCGCTAAACCAAGCATTTTCAGGGTTCCATGTTTTACTCGAAGTTTATACAGATGTATATATAGCATGGCTCCACCAGCTTTTGCCTGATATTGTTGTTGTTGTTGTATTTTAACTATTGCTGCATGCTTAATGGCGGATTGCCCTGTCCTCCTCAGCTCTGCGTTTCTTGAGCTAATGCGCCAAAATGAGATTCAAAAACATCATTAACAGAGATGATCTAGAGACTGAACGACGGAAACCCGTACCTTGGATTGCCAATCCGACTGCTCCCCCGTCCCACCGACAAAATGGCCAGATCATCCCGGAGGACAAACTTGAAACAGGCACTGACGTGACAATAGCTGATAGTAAAACTAAGAGAGCATGTACTGAGAACAAACTCCCGCTTTTCAAGAAGCGTAACGCGGCCCCAATCGAGTTGTTCTATGATCTATTCTTCGTCGCCAATCTTTCAAGTTATACATCAACGCATGAAATCAATACCTCCTCAAGTTCGTACCCTCAGTGAACACCTGCATTTCTCGAAAATTGGCGTTGACAATGTTTCCCAGATTTGACGGCCTATGTAGGTTACATTTCGCTACTGTGGTTCGTATGGCTTCAGAATACCTTTTTCGATCTTCGGTTCTACACCGATTCCGTTCTGTCGAGATTATTCACAACTCTGCATCTTGGAGTTATGGCTGGCTTCGCTATTCTGGGACCTAACTTCGACCCCTCTGCTAGCACAGCAAATGGCCGTGAGTTCTGGAACATGAGTCTTGTCCTCATGACATCTCGACTAATCCTGACCTTCCAATATGCCTCCATCATCTGGTACATTAAGGGCTACAAAAGGACGGTTTTTCCAACCCTGTTAGTTATCGGGACTCACTTCCTTACCGCAATGGCATATTTAGGCCTAGCATTCACTTTTACCAGAACTCGCCGGCATTCTGCCTTCCTTGCTTGGTATGTCATTGGTGCTGTGGAGGCTATATTTATGATTTCTATATCGAGTTTCTGGAGGCTTCTTAGTTTCAAGGGAACGGCAATTGTTGAGAGATTTAACGGTATGACACTGATTGTACTGGGAGAAGGGGTTGTTGGGATGGCCAAAGCAGTAAGTCTCCGAGTTTCGTTGATCAAGAGAGTTTATTAAAAAATAACTTAACGCGGACTGACACATGTCTAGGCTACTAGAATAGCCCAAGGTGCAGCAGATGTTACCAAGACTTCCATTGGCTTAATTATATGCTACATCCTCATTATCGTAGGTTCCCACCCAATAACTTACTGGATATTGCTGTGCTTTTTTAACAATATATGATACAGTATTTCATGTACACAATATACTTCGACCAAATCTCAGAAGATCGATTTGGCAGTATACGCCAACAAATATGGGCATTCTTGCACTTCCCACTACACATGGGAATTCTACTCACCATTGAGGGGAGTCGCGGATGGATTTTGTGGAGTGTCTCCAACCAACTCATCAATCTTGCCACTGCCAGAGCCGACGCTGTTTTTCAACAGACTGTACCATCGCGAAGCACAACACTGGGAGAAGACTGGGTCGATAGTCTAAAGCTAATTGTCACATTCGTATCCAACCGTCTCCGTTCACCCCAGCAAGCACCGAATTTTCAACCTATTTATGACAGACTCCTCAGCATGGACCTGGATGATCCGAACCGAGAGAAGGATTTAGCGGACCTTTACAAGGAGTTCTTCAACAAATTGTACTCCTGGGTCCTGCGTACATTTGGCATTGACCTGTCAGCGCTAAACGGCTCGGGGCGCCAAGTTCTCGCGCAACAAAATAAGCAGGTTTCCGTGAAGTTCCACGTGCTGTTCGCATACTTCTTTATTGCGGCTGGGGTGACTCTAATATTCCTTGCGTCCATGCATTGGTTCGGCAAAGCGCATAAAACGCGTGGCGAGGTGTTATCCATCATCATGACAACGCTATTCGGAACGGGGTTGGCGCTGATTTCAATATTCATTAAAGTTGAAGAGCGTGTTGGCCCAGGAGGATCGACGCCGTATACCAACTTCTTTGAGAGTGGATGGATTGTGCCGACTGTGGTTTTTACCTATGGTCTAGGTAGGTTTTCATGTTTACCGGATACCCTGTTTTAGAATTTAAATCTGCTAATTTCTGTATCTTGTCATAGTCATCGCAATCGATTGTTTTATTGTTTGGGTATCGCATAGACGATGGAGGAGGCGAGTAACATAGGGGATTTCCGTTGCTGCATTCACTCGGAGTTTGTCTGAAGGGTGTCTTGTAAGAGCATTTTGGTTTGTTTGCCATTGATTGAAGAGATATCCCACCGGTACGTAATTACTGTTTTTACATAAAATCACAGCTATTTCCATACTCGGGCACGTAGCGAAACATTGTCCAAGTCTTGGTTGGTATTTCCAACTTTCTCATCCTGTAGAATAAGGAAGAATCTTTTTGGCATGCAAGTAAAACAAGTCAAAAGAACAGCTTGAACAGCTCTGGTCACTCTTAAGCAATGTTTTTAAGCATCTAGCTCAACTTGCGGTTTCTTTTCAATCTCTCCCATCTTCGTATCGTGCCGTGTTCGGGATGTTTCGCGTTCGGCGCATCTCACAAATACATGATTAGTATCGTTTCATACCTGCTCATAGTTTTAGAGATGGCATCCTGCATCATCTCAAGAATAAAGTAACCGATGTTTTTGTCACCCATCTCATCAATTCTCCACACCTGAAACCGGGTTCTTAGTTCCTCCAGCCAAAGATAAGAACAGTTGGAGCATGTGATTTTATATTCCCCACCAGACAGAACCACAGCTCGCGACAGCGGAAACACACCTCCCTCGGATCACACCGTGCGATTTGAAAAGAAGTCGTTGTCTTCGCGAAAGCGGTCGGCGTGGCAATTCTCCAATAAAAGTGAAACCGAGCAGGCCTTCTTATATGCCTCCTCTTGATGCGCAGCCTCTTGCGAAACAACCATTGTTCTGATTCATGCCCGCCTTGATCAGCAATGGCGATTCACGCGTACCCTTGGGTCAGACCCTGATCTTTGGGAACAAACTGACCACATATGGCAATGTTCCCTGTGGCAGCGTCCTGGTTCTTGGGAAGGGTGTGGTATCACATTCTTCCGAACGTATCTCGTTTGCTACGTAGGTACGGAATGGCGAGTAAAACGAATGCTTACAGCAAATAAACTTGGATGACTGACTGGGTGTTTACTTTGAGGGGTTATGAATTGTATGTTGGCTCATTGCCCTTCTCCTCAATAGGTATGTTGATGACTGAGTCTCACGGACGCCTTAATATGTTGTGGACGAATCATGTTAGCAGGAAAATTCTCAACGTCTGCAATGCTGGACAAGGAAGCGACAAGAAGAAATTATTAGGATCGCTCTAATACTCCGTGCTTGAGCTGATTACCACTATGAAGCAAAGCTTGAGCGGTTCTTCTGATTGCTTGCTTTGGCGGTGTGCCCCTGGCGACAGCTTGCATCGTTTGAATATATGTATTTTTGGACTTTCACATTTAAATGCAATTCGTCTCCAAGACAACACAAAAAGAGGCATCTAAATGGTTTCTTGCGTTCCACGGACAAGTTGTGATTCAAGTCTCGGTTATGCAGAAGCTTGATTTCCATAGCCCATTCCTTCGCTATGCCAATGAAGTGCAAATAATCTACACTGAGATCTCTACTTCTTCAGATGTCCAACCCTTCATTTGCTAGAGACTGGTCTATTGCTTAACCAGGTCATTTACTTTATCTCACCGCCTTGGATTTTTGCACAAACTTTGAGCAATAATAGAGGAGAACCCGTTTAATGGGGGTTGCCAATGTGACCGGGATCACCCCAAGCATATCAACTAGCGGACACATTTCTCCGTACTAGCGGAGACAAATGGCCCCAGGATTCTGGGCAAGTTGACGACTTTGAGCTTGCATTGTCTGTTATTGTGTCATTGAAAGAAACCTTCCGATGCGAACTGAGTATAAAATCCTGCGTACTCTGTGCAATCATGATGCAGTTTGCATACTGCAAACGCACCCAAGTCCATGACTCTATGGTAACTGGTTTAGTGGCCCCAAACGGCGTAAACTTTCCTTCAAAAGACGGCCGCACTCGATGGGGATCTAGACTAGCAGAGCAGTCAAACTCTCTCATTCAAAACTCATGTTGGGTGTTGCTGAGCAACAGGAAACGGGGAGGAGTCTTTCATACACAAGCCCGTTTGGAACAGCCCATCAGGGGTTGGTATCTTAATCTTAGTGTCCACGTTCTAAAGCACCCGGCAAAGATTACAAACTTCAGCATGATACCCAGGCCCGCCATTTGCAGGGCTAGCACCGCGGAACATGGAGTCTAATGTCCGAACCTGGTTCTTGGGACGCGCTAAAGGGACGGACGGGACCAGTTGAGAATAATAATTGAGGTGGGCGCACTTCGAGACTTCAGGGACGGATTACAACCAAGCTGGAGAAGGGGGAAGGGCTAGAGCGGTAGTCTCCCGCCCCCCCCCCAATTTTCTGAAATATCACCCCAGGTTCACATCTGAGGCCAGACTATTTATTCCCGTCGCTGTCAAGATGATGGTCCTGAGTTAGTCGGAGGTCCGATTACTAGCTGTACAGTAACTAACTACCTTAGACTTGATACGAGAAGAATTTTCACTCATTCAAGTTGATCAAGTTTACCTGTATCGGCAATAAGTCATATGGCAAGTGTAGAAACTTGAGTTCGTTTCTTCTCTCCATGTTCGTGTGTAATTAGGTGAATCTCAAGTGGTCTGCCCCGTACAAAGGTGAAAGCTATTGGCACTAATTGGGGGCGACATGCGAGTATGAGGATGCAATTTTTGAAGCTCCTTGGTTAGCAGCTCTCCACACTCATTTGTTGACGGCTGCATCCTTGGGTGAACCTCAAATCGGCATAACCCCGAGCTCAGGTCAGAATAACAAATATTCGCCGTCGTTTCTCCATGACGATGAGAAGCGTTCAGATGTGTTATGGTATGGAACCTAACCTAGATTTTGCAAAATTCATTGGGATTGATACGGAGCGTACAATTCAGTTTAACATCCAACGTCTTGTAACCCATGATATTCATTACACCATCAGGCTTGTATCTGTATTCAGACACGGTACATAAACGGATACGCCGTGAAATACAGAATTGTTATACGGAGAGGATCTAGAATAAATAATGTTGTCACGAGCAGCAAGTGACGTGTTGAAAGTTTTGCTTGCTTGATCTTAGTTGGAGATGAGCTGCATGACTTTCCGCTTCACCCCTTTTCAGGTGTGTTCTCTTAAGCCGGAGAGAAACCCCCCCGCTAACTGGCCAGCTCCAGGATAAAGAGCACCTAACGGACACTAGCGCGAGCGGAAGCCGGGAAACATTGCTCTAACAGAGACGGCGCACTTCAAATCCAGGGCAACGGGCTACACTGAATTCCTGACGATAGTTTGGGCCCACAGGCCGCAATGATACATACCCCACGGAATGGAGTTAGCCAATATGATGAGTAACCCCGAGATACAGCGCAACAGCGCCAGGAGAGATCGAGAGTTTATCACATGGAGGATCTCTCATTGCCTTCTCCATTTGTCAATATGGAGGGTTCAATACCCCTTGGATCTTGGGAAAGGAGACGATCTAACCAGCAGAGGCTGAAAGGAGCTAGTTAACTAGTTAAATAGTTGATACGCTGATTATCACCGTCTGCAGATAGTCTCCTGGGCGGTCCTGTTATAGATTATACGCCTGTTTCTTTCCCACAAAGTCCATGTATATAGCCAACCTTCGTGTCCTTCAAGGCTCCCTCGTGCTCCGACAATGGATCCTCGAAAAACACAACTTGCATGTTGCGATCTCTGGTAGCACCAGTTTGGCGCAGGATCGATGATTACAAAATTCAGCTAGCCGAAGATTTTCAACCGCGATCCTCCCCATGGTTTGTTTCCCGGGCTTTGAAACGCCATACAAATCCCGAAAGCTGCCATCTGAATTCGCCTCATCATGGAATTTGAGGGTTCCAGACCCTACCGTTGATAGTCTTAACCATAACCCATGCGATGATCTACGCTTGGCAAGGGAAGGCAGTGGATTTGTTTAACGAGTCCGCCAGTGTGCCGCTCCCAACGCCGGGTCAAAGCAACTACTAGAGCCACGCTATCGACCCAAGAACCCATTGTTCTGGATCCCATGCCGTTTGGACAGGTGCCTTGAAGAAGCTGAGAAGTTGTGGACAGATCTCCGTGACGTTGATGCAATCGCGAAGAGGAAACCCTTTACCTTTTGGGGCATGGTCGGGTTAAGCCGAAACGGAGGCAACCTTCATTGCCTCCTCTCAGACGGAGATAACGGTTACCATGAATCGATGGCTGGCTGGTGGTTTCCCTTTTGCTGTGGAAGAATAAGGCGTGAATCCTGTGAGGAACAGTGATAACAACTAATTATCACTACTCCGTAGCTTGTAACTACTAGTCCAATAATTTAATTACCTTTGGTACGACCAGGGCATGTGGTCGATCTCTGATCCATACTCAGCTGTGGATGATCATGAATTCTGGTATGTATGGGGCGGTATACTGTATTTGCATTATTAGCTACACCTCTTTGGAAACCAGAAGAAGGGAAATAAGAAACTTGAAAGTCCAATGGCCTAGTGGCAATAATGGACAGACAAAAAGGTTACGTCTCGAGCATTTCGAGCATTGGCCAAACCATTCAAAGACCGGCCCATCTGTTGCGTTGTCCTTGCTCGTACAGACCCTCTTCTTGGTGAATATTGCGGTGAGAAAATGAAGCTTGCCCAATTTTTAAGAATGCGGTGTTGAGAGCCGATAGAGATTCGGGGCAGAATAAGTTCTAGCCGACTGTTCAAGATGATCATGGATGTGTATCAATTCCGGCTTAAGTATATTTTGCTCTGCAATTATATTCAATATATTCTTTTTGAGGAAGAGCGTACTCCCAGGGCATGCATGTCCTTGAGCGGCATATTTCATGCAGTGTAGCCTAGTGCCGGTGCCCGAAACACCTATGCATTACATTGAACGGGATTGCCTAGGTTGCGTCTAGGTAGGGGAAACATAGATCCTGATTGATAGGAAATTCGCAATCATTTTATCTCGAATATGTCACTGATTTCAACTTTCGTCTGGGCCCGAAATGTGGTATGAAATTCTTGAATTCAGGCTGCTGCCGTGATATATTGAGGGAAGGATGGAGATGCAGTCGTGAAAACACAAAAGAGGTAGAATCGAACCTGGCATGCGGCTTATGGGAGAGCATAAGGATATCTCTGCTGTTACCAGTTGATAATCAGGAGAATAGCCGCTGTGTGGTGATTGTTGTCGCCAAGGTCGGATATCGGGCCGATCCTTTCAATGGAACCTACTGTATGGTTGATAATGTGATATACTAGAAAGAAGCTTGCATAGCTGGAATTGGGGTAGAATAGTTTTGCATTACTCTATCTCAACTGTGTATTTTTATATTGTTCTACCGTCAACGTTATGCAAAATATATTTTTCACGAAACTGTCACAACGGTGGTTTGAGCGTGATCTTAAATACTTTCCCCCACCCTTAACACAGGACACATTCAAACCAGAGGCCGGTGAAGAAGCAGAACGGTAAGATAATCTAATATTCCTGTTCATCATCACCAGCAATAATGACATTGTTGACCTAAACATTCAACAGAGTTAGTATTGGTGATTAGGACAGATATCAGGGGCGAGCTGTGGAAACGGAATAGTAGCTTACTTTCAAAACCAAACGACAAAGCTGAGTTGCGAGGAGAAGTTGTTGGCGTTTGCTAATTAAAGGGTCGATAACGAAATGTTGTTTCATGTCTTTAATGAGGAGTGAATTGATTAGTTTCCGTCTTTTTGGGGGATACAATATTCTGGCAAGGGAGGCAAACTTACCGTTGCTTCCCGTACTCATGCAATCAACTCCGAGATTGGAATTATTTTCTTTTAGTTGGCGAGATTTGAGGGCAGCCAGAGTTTCGATAGGTCTGAGGCCAGAATTTTCTGCCAGGGCCATAGGGACAGCGTCTAAGGCATCTGCGAATGAACGCATGGCATATTGGACAAGCCCAGGGTTCTAGCGGTTGCGAGACAAAGAAGTCCGTCAATGGTTGGCAAGTATAACTAGGTGTTTTAATACGAAATTCGTACCTTGACAGCAGCTTCCTCTACAGCAAGAGAACAAGCAATTTCCGCGGCACCGCCACCGTACACAACACGGTTATCGCGTACAAGATTTCTCACGACGCAGAGAGCATCGTGTAAAGATCGTTTGGCCTCGTCCACAATCTGTGAAGTGGATTGTAGGTGAATTAGTGGCTGGCTCTTTGGCTGGAAGCCAGGACATTTTTGGGATGGAGGAGGGTTATCGTACCATCTTGTTGCTGCCACGAAGAAAGACCGTTACAGCACGGGTGTTGGCACACTCTTCAATTATCAACATCTTCTCCCTGGTTGTTCCGAAGCTCATTTCCCGTACAATGCCGGCAGTCCCTAGCTTCTCTGGGCTCAGATCCTCAAAACGAGGCACAATCCTTCCGTTGGTAGCGATGGCGATTAATTCGATTTCTGGTCCACCTACCCATCGGACAGCAGGCAGGTTGTTCTGCAAAAGAAGATGGTTTGCTTCGTCGTCAAAGCCCCACTGGCATATGACAAGGTTTGCACCAGTGTCCTTGAGTTTTTGGATCATTTCCGTGAATTTATCTGTCTCGTATGCTTGCAACTTCTTGAATTCCTCAACACTCGTTATGTCAAGTTTATGCTTGGTTTTGGGTTTGGGAGGTTCAAATGCACACGTGAGAATGGCAAGTTTGGCATCCCTAACTTCGTCAGGCATTTGTGGGTGGGAGAAGTCCTTGTCAACAATGACACCCTTAACAAGGAGCGAGTCCTCGAGGGATCCGCCAACTTTGCCATCAACTTTTATAAGTTCGAAGTCAACATCTTTTCGTTCCAAATCTGCGACGGAGAGGACTGCGTCTACAGCCATTTCTGCGAAATGGTCGTGTGCTTTCGAAACTCTGTAAATTGTCAGAATAGAAAACCCATGTACTGATAACGGGCATGGGATGGAACCTACATCTTGCTCCCCAAACTAGTTTTGGCAACTTTCATTAGATTTTCCCGGTCATCCCTTGAGAATTTTATCTCGTCACATATGCGGTCTAGCTCTGCAACAGCAACCTCGCAGGCTTCATCGTAACCATCAGCTATTCTTATAGGGTGGATTCCCTTGTCAATTAAATCTGCAGCCTGCTCTAAAAGGGCGCCTGCCAGGACCACAACTCCAGTTGTTCCATCTCCAATTTCGTCATCTTGGGATTTTGAAAGCTCAACCAGAAGCTTGGCAACATTGTTTGATATCTCCATCTGTCATCAAAAGTTAATTAGCAACCCTGAGTTTATTATGCGTAGTTTGGAAGCACATTTTGGTAAGGAAGACGGACCTGAGAGAGAATGGTAGCTCCGTCATTTGTGACGGTGATATCTCCATCGGGAGAAATGAGAATTTTATCTAGTCCACGCGGGCCCTGTGAATTTATTTTAGAATATTTAAGTAAATCAAGGACAGTAAACTGAGGGTAGGCCGGCGTACCAGGGATGTTTTCACTATGTTCGCAACTGTCTTTGCCGCAAGAATATGTGATTTGACCGCTTCAGTCCCACTCTGCCGTTTCTTCTTTCCCTGACTGTAATATCATTCGTTAACAGCCTGATCGTATTGATCCACCGTGTGAATTATACTTCCAGAGTCAGTTGTTACATACTCTCGAACAACGATAAAAGGGCGCCCTTGCTCATCCTTTACAACGGAGGCTGTACTCAATCAGGGGCAATTTGTCAGAATTATGGAGGTCTTGGTAGCTAGATTGGTGGTTGGGTCGGCAATTCACCTTGGGACATATCGAGTTCTGTCTCAGGGGATAAATTAGAAATGTTTTAGAAGTATCAAGGAGGGACAGGGACATACGCATAGCCATCTTGAAGGTGTACCGCTAGGCGGTAAAACTTCTTCACCTAAGAAAAACAGCAGTAAACAGGGAGTAAAGTTCTCCGGATATCAACAAACTGAGAGTAGCGAGAGTCCGTACGATGATTGATATAACTACAAACGCGGTGAAATAAAATCTATATTACATAATCCAAGCCTCCAATCCTGGAGCTCCCGTCCCAAAGAGGGTTAGTGCGGACGATGTTTCTTTCAACGCGACCGTCTCAAACTTCGCGACATTCTTCGACGGTTAATCAATATCCAGGGCCCAAAGGTCCATTGAGCTTGACGAAGTACTAACAGGTTTATTGTTTTACTTTCCGTCTCTACTGCTGGGCTTTGATCTGGCCGTGCCATTTCCATTTTTAGACACCGATCCTGTCAGGCGCATTAACCTGAGTCGACCGGTTTATCGCCCAGTGTCAACCTGAAAAAAAAATGCCGCGTGAGCCCCCAGCGCGCCATCCTGAATTGAGTGCTGTGAACCTAAAGCTGATTGTGCTTTTTCTCTCCAGCTGCACTTGAATATAGTGAAGATGAATCTGGCGGAGAGTCAATCCCTTTCAATGATGGTGAGGAAGAGGAACGGACCGCCAAGAAGAGGGACGCTACTCCGGTAAAAGATGCGGAAGAGGAAGAAAACGGCGAAAGCGGCGGCGGTGATGGCGATTATGAGGAGGAGGTGGTGGTGGTGGAGGAGGAGGAGGAGGGGGGGGAGGGGGGGGACGAGGACGAGGAGGAGGACGAGGACGAGGATGAAGACGTGGAGGAAGACGTGTAAGCAATGGCATTGTGAACACTGAAATTATGGGTTCTAATGGGTCTTTTGTCTCTTCAGATATGTCGTTGAAAAGATTATGGGACATGAGTTTGCCAAAGATGTCGGTGATACGAACCCCTCCCAACTCTATACGGTCGTGTTCAGAGCTGAGAAATTTTTTAGGGCGCCCTGCTCCTTCTGGTTAAGTGGAAAGGTTATGAGAACCCGGAGGATCAGACTCTAGAACCAGAGAAAAATCTACTGTATTTGTTCCAACTGACCCCGCTCTCAATTTGCAAATCTTCTAACCTCATGTTCAGAGAAGACACACCGGAAATAGTGGAGGAATACTACTCGAAGATTGGTGGACGCCCTGAAAAGCCATCAAAGAAACGGAAGTCCCTTGGCGAGTCCTCTGCACTGTCGCGCGACACAGCCTCCAGCAAAAGATCTAAAAAGCCTCGATCGGTGGATGGAACCCCCGAGATGGAAAATAACGCTGCGAATTGGATGCCAAAAACGAAGAACTGGGATACGCAAGTCAAGTCTATCGATACCATAATGCGCGATCCGCCCACGGGCAACCTGTTTGTGTACCTCAACTGGAATAATGACAAGAAAGCGAAAGTATCGATCCAACAATGTTATGAAAAGTGCCCACAAAAGGTATGCAGCCCCCCCTTTTTTGGATTTGGGGGGGGGGGGGGGGTTCGAATATCATATGACCATGAATTAATAAACTGACATCGCCTCACAGATGCTGCAATTCTACGAACAACACCTGTATGTCCCATCGTTTGCTCAGTTATCAAGCCACATCATTTTGTACTAACCCTGATATAGCGTTTTCAAGGATGCTTAATCCCATTGCGCCCCGTTTTCTTAGGTTTTTTCTTCTTTTTTTTTCCGTTTTGATTTTAATCATGTCGCAAAAACATTCATACTTTGGATATGTCATATCATGTATTTCTTCCTTTTTCCTTCTGCCTTGGGACACATCGAGTCACGTTTGTAGCGAAGGGGCAGAAATTCATCCTCCCCATCCTCCCCTTAGGATATCTACCATGTTATCTGGAGTTTTTCTTTTTTCTATTTTAACCCACAAGACAGAAACCGGATGGCGTTCTTTCCGCGTCGTATCACTTTTGATAAATGATTCTGTCATCACGAAAGCATTCTTTCAATCAAGCGTGTTCTTTTATGTCTTTTAGCCTGGTCTGGTAATTGGTTTTTTTTTCTTTTTTTCTTTTTCTTTCGCGCAGGAAATCTCTTAACATTCGTATTATATTTTTCTTCGTAGGACAAAACTGAATTATTCGTGAAACTTTTGCCTGTTTTCCATAACTGTTGTGTGGTCGAGCTTTTCTTATATCCACGATTCCCCCTTTTTATTTTATTCCTCTAACTGCTAATCTCCTGACATTGTTTTTTTTTTAGTTTGGCAGGGCATACACTGGAGAACTGCGCATTAAATAGCTCAGTTTGATTTCATTTTCCTTGGGCTAATTGAGGAGTGCCTATCGATCGTGACTGGATGGTATTGCCCACACGATATAGCCATTTTGAAGATGAAGGATCTCTTCACAAAATTAGAAGTGCTCCGTGCGTAGCTGAGTTACTTCTCATCCCTACCACTAAGTGCATCGACAGTTACTGAATGTATCGTACCACACAAGGGAAAACATCACAGGCAGAAATAAGACAGACAAGGGAGTCAAATACCACAAATCTCGCATATCATAACAAACTACACTTCTTCAGTGAACTATGCAAATTGTCATTTAGCCGACTCCCCCTTCCGCATCACGACCTCCCTTCGGGCCATTATATACTCAAACCTCGCATTGAACAGCTCATTACCATGCTTCTTAATTAGAGCCTGAATACACTTCGGGTCAGCCGCATCCAACCACTCATCGTCTTCCTTAGTCCAAACCCCCCTGATATTGCTGGGTATCCCTCTGCCCGCTGCCATGTGCTCGAGCACAGTCTCCGCTAGATCGGGATCCATAGTTGTGCATGCGAGTGCATCAAGGACTTGGAGTTGGCTATATGCCTTGCTGCCTGTGACCTTGGAAGAGATCCATTCATCCATTTCCCGGATGGCTGCTTGGTCTTCTGATGAGGTGTTGTTATCGGGATATGTAGGTGCACGGGCAGCGGGCGTGGGCCGTGGCGTTGGCGAGCCGTTGAATTCTCCCCGACGATTTAGGACTTCGGGGGGTGTTCGGCACTGGACTTCCATTGTGTCCTGTTGGAATTTTGGCGCCGTTTCAAATGATTCTTCTGAAACTGATATGGAGCGGCTCTTGGGCATGGATTGTTCGTTATTATTAGAATATGGAGAGTTGGAATTTGTTTGTGGGCTTGCTTTTTGAATGGGGGGTTGGCAAGAGTTTGGTGATCGTGATATTGATGTTATTGGATTATTAGATTGTTGGTTTGTAGGGGAAGGCGATATTGTCTTTTGAGGGATAGACTCGGCGGCTCTGCGTTTGCAATTCTGAGGAGAGCCAGATTCCACGGCCGCGGAAGGAATATCGGCGGCACTGCGGCGTCTTTTGCTGTCTTTCGATCGTTTTGCGTTGTATTCTGGGAGAACAACGTTATCGAAGAAGGACTTCCATTCTTCGACAGATTTCCCGGTCTAACGTAAGTCCTAGGTTAGAAATACGTAAAAAGAATGTACGTATTCAGTTTCTGAGTTTCATACATTTTCAGCAAACAGTGACCAAGCTTCATCTTCTTTCCCCGGTTCAATATTCAAAACATCTTTCACGTGGTTGAGCAGTTCTTCTTTATCCTCGCTCGTAAAACTTTCATATCTCTTGCTGTCAGACTCGGGGAATCTGGTGTCGAGCTCGTCCCTTTGCTGGCCACCCTCGCTCGTTGTTCTGCCCGCAGGCCCACGGGCAACTGTTGCAGTGCTTCGTTCCCGATCCGGGGTGACAGGTCTTGGCCGATCCTTAACCTTTTTCAAATAGCGATCACGCCATGATTGGAAAGTATGCTGCGGGTGCTGAACTCAATTGCCATTTTTAGTTATATATATATTTTCAAAGAGGTCAATTGGCAGAAGAGTGTGGTGATGTGATGTACCTTTTCTGCAAGCTGCTGGTATATCTTATTTCCAGCTATTTGTCCACCGTTTTGCTCGAAGGGTTTTACCCAATCATATAAGATCTGGTCATCTTTCGCAGTAAATGTAGATCTGTGGCCCTTTGGCCGCGTAACGGAACCCACTGAGCGAATATAATCGGATGGTGGGCCGGCACGGTGGTCATCTAGATTCTCCAGCTTTCCTTTCTGAATGGACTTTTCAACATACTGAAACGAGGTTCTATTAACATGTTATCCAGGCGAACAACAAACATGGCAATGTAGAAATGAATGGGTCCACAAACGAGCCAACAGGGTTACCCCGTTTCAAATGATCAACAAGGAGCACATCGGCATCCTTTTCTAAGAGTACTACTTTCCCGCCGTTGGCCTAGGAGCTGTCAGTATATCCATGCTAAGCACAGCTTTGCAGTACATTTGTATACAAGCTTACTTCAATAATCTGTTTTATCCATGATCTCGATGGGACGGTCCTAGACAACCAAAAAGTCAAGTCTCTGAACAAATCACCGGATTCTTTACTTGGGTTGGAGGCATCCGAATAGGCAACAGAAGGGCATTCCATTCCGTAGACGACGTGCTTTCTGAGAGTGAAGTCCCGCTCATATCGCAAAGGGCTTGATCAAATATGTCTGTCTGTTGCTGATGGTTGACTTCATTCACTCCTTCTTGTCTCCCTTGAGGCTGACGGTCGAAGCACCAAGTCACGTGGCGATAAAGCAGCGTTCAAGGTTATCAGATCCGGTCCAAACATGGAAAGTTACTCCGAGCCAAGAATCCATCGCCGCTTGGGAACTCAAGCCCATAATCAGCCAGACTGCCCCATGGATCGATTGCCCATTCATTCATTGATTGCATCTGTCTGTTTTCGGGTCCAGACAACGGTTTAATCAGGCCTCCAAATGGGCCTTTGAAGGCCCAGACCCCAACCGTTGCAGTAGTTATCTGGAATGAATTGCTGTTGCTGGCCGCCGTTTGATTTTCGTTAACTCCTCTCGATGTTGCTTGCCCCTGAGGAGTTGGGACACAAACCATGGGAGCCTTCCGCAATTTAGGGCTCGCAGTGCTTGCGCTGTCCTTCTTCACTTTCGTTGCTTTGTTTGGGAGAATTCCCGCCCTGAGGTATTTGCTACTTTTTTTAATATACTTCTCCATGTTGAAATCTTAGGTTCTTACAAGCTGAATTCCTTTCCTTTCCTTTCCTTTCCTTTCCTTTGCCTTTTTTTTAGAAAAACTCCCATCGGATTCTTTCATCGCGTGATCTGGATATATTTCCCGAAGCTTCTCCAACTGATCGATGGCGTTCTTTTTGGAGGCCGAGTCTCACGGTCGGGCAGCCGTCTGGGGCATTATTTGATGCATGAAAATCATCCCTTCGTATTGGTATGTAGTTATTCAACTCTATAATCCTATGATTTCAACCTTTTGAGGCTGACTGACATGAGAATAGATATTTTTCTTGGCACTGCTCGTAGGGTCAGAGGCTTTTTTCGTCCCGACCATATGGCCGAAAATCGGAGCCTTTCACAAGTTATGTGTCTCTTTCGCTATTGTTATGCCGTATTTATTTTTATATGGGTGCGTTGTTTCAACTTCCACCATTACGCCGGAAAACCTCCAGGAACACATGCGATCGTACCCTTACGATCGAATCTTGTTCCATCCTGGATATGTCTGTCGAACTTGCCATACATTGAAGCCTGCTCGAAGTAAACATTGCAGCATCTGCAATGTATGCGTTGCTAGACATGATCATCACTGTATCTGGTTGCAAAACTGTGTTGGTCAAAACAACTACCATATTTTTTTGGCGCTCCTCTTGTCAATGTCTGTGCTGTTGTCCTACGGAAGTTATTTGGGATACGGTATTCTCGATCGAAGGTTACAGGATGCCTTAGTCCTAACTTATTCCTCCACCGTGCCCGCTAAACACTGGGCTGAAGGAACTGACTGGGCGATGTATTTCCAATTATGGGGATTTGCGATTGCGGATGATATTGTTGTTGGAGCAGTCTTCCTGCTGGCAGTGCTCACCGCACCGCTTCCGTTTGCTATGCTCCTTTACCACCTATACTTAATCTGGAGCGGAATGACCACCAATGAGAGCGCAAAGTGGGGTGATTGGCGAGACGACATTGCGGACGGACTTGTATTCAAGGCGAAGAAAAGCGAAATATACCCCCAAAGGCATCCGGATGCTGACATCGTGGAGCCGGATATTCCTTGGCCGATTAATACGGACCACACCCTGATTTTTACAAGCGATGGAAGTCCTCCTAGAGTTGGATTCTCTCTGGACGGGGAATGTACTTCCATCACCCAACCCGGGAAGCTGGGCACGGCTCCCGATCCAAGATGGCGAAGGGTACAGAGACTTGAGGATGTTGTGAATGTATATGATCTTGGATTCTGGTCGAATTTAAGGGAGGCACTACGCATTCGTCGATGATTGGCTATTGGCTATTGCGATGGTTATGTGAATAGCTATGTAATCTCTATAAATGAAATTTCTATACCCTGAATAAACTCACGTTTGATCTCTGATATCCTTTTTCGCTCTGTGTACATCATACATTAGTTAAGTGGACAAGGACCAGATTATTCGGAACAACTTAACTCCCCGGTTGCCAAGAACCACAAACCTTTTGGTTAGACTTTTTTTTCATCATCATCATCTATCTGCTTCTCTTAATATGCCTTGAGTGGTTTCAGTTGCTGTTCTTAAACTCCTCTCGAGGCTACCACTGTACAGTACACGTAGACCTGCTAAGATGTCTACGTCTCCAGGTCAGGAGACAACAGAACGACCTGCATCTCATGGAGGGCCGAAATGCACCCCCGCAGAGCTCTTGTTAAAGGTTGTCCTCGCAGGGACTTTGACACACTATGAAACGCGGGGGATGATCGATGACAAACGCTTGGAACACATGCTACTTGCTGGAAAACAGATCCTTTATAAGAGCCACCAGGAGAGTGAAGTAAGGTAAGGGAGGCTTTTTCTTCTGCCCCTCATCCAACAGCGTGGTAGGCTTCCACAATGGCTGTAAAAGGGCTCATCCCTGCCATCAAGAAAACTAAATTGTGGATAGACAAAACCTAGGGTTTTCACCAGCCGTATGGCAGGGCCTCACAGACGTTCTGAGCAAAGCCATCCCCGTTCTTGAATCCCAATCCCTGACGGCTCCCGGAAGCTGTGAGGAGTCCTCCTCCAACCTTATAGCATATAACTATTTTTCCCTGGTGAAGGATATTGAACGCTTGAACGATCTTTGTACCATTGCACGCAATCTACTCGCAACAACAAAGAAAGCGCAAAATCTCGCAGCTGAGAAGGGATTCGATCAAAGAATTTTACTTCTGATTGACACATGCGTCAGAGTTACGGCTAGGGGCTACGATGGCGAGAGCAATGCCAGAAATGAAGAAAGATGGCAAAAAGTCGTTAACCTCTACAAAAGGCTACTCATCACCTGCCTCCAGTTCCTTCATAACTTTATCATGCACAACGAGCATCGGAAGCTTGTCCTTTGGCTAGATCTTTTTGGCTATCATCAAAATGGCGAGTCGAATGTAATAACGCCTCTGGAGCCTTTGGATACCGGTAACTTCCATGTACAGGGAGTTGCACCAGTCGTAAGAGCTGGGGAACGAATTATCAGTCCTCCATTGCACACTTTATATGACCAAACTGCGGAGGATATGTTACTTGAGACGATCTCAACATTTCCCAGGGAGCCTGCGTCTATGAAGGAGGAAGCGGCTATGTTATTGCTGGCCAACATTAAAGATCACATGGAGAAACTTCTCGGGCGGAATCTGAAAGAAATACAACAAATGGGTAAGGACCCAGAACGAGCAACAGAACTCCGTGCTGCGCTTACTGCAATTTTGGGAGCAAAAGTGGATGGCTGGGCAGATTTCAAGGATCGACACTATGAAAGCGGAAGCGCCCTTGACGAGCAAATTCCAACCCGGAAAAAGGCGATTCTGAGTATAGATCGAACCGCGACAACGGGCTATCCACGCACGTGTTGGACTGACCTCCCAGATCTAGAGGAATACGGCACAATCGCTGCAGCGGATGCACCCGTCACCCCGGAAGACACTGTCATGTCCCGATCCCCTCAGTCGGCAGCAGAGACATTACAGGAAGCGAAAGACGAATTGATGGCTAGGCTTCAAGAGACATCGCCTATTCTGGCTAATGGGGAGCTACATTATGAGTCAATAGACGGTAATTGCGTACCCCAAGATGACGATTCGCGCAGCCTTGAGGCTGCTGTGGATGGTAGTGTTGATGAGGAAGAAGATGACGAGGATGACGATGATGATTACAGAGGTCGACCTGGAGACCAGCAACGTGGGTTACTTACAGACATCCCTCTAGTTCTGGGCCCTGCGGAGATCGAGGCTCTGCCTATGATTATCCAGGCAGGTATTGTCGACAGTTTCGGCCTGAAGGGTGGAGAAAGATCCGGAAATAAAAACATGCAGGCGGTTCGGTGTCATATTCTCCTTGCGCAAGAGACGGGCCGAAACCTTCTTCGGGAGTTGCTGATTTTCATTGCCGCCTGGGACCTGCCAGATGACGAATTTTACTTCAAGATGATGGTTCAGATCATGGAAGCTGTCCTAGAGAATGGGCTTATGTCCCATGCTTATTCTGATTTCGGTCAGGCGAAGGACATCATCTCCCCAGCCCAGGCCGTTGTTATCAAGATTCTCACGCATATTTTTCGTTCCAAGTATTCACCTCCTAATATTGCCTCAACTTCTGAAACACCCACCGGTAGAAGTTCTGTCCCCGTCACAAAGGTCGATGTGTTGACAGTCCGATATATCTTTACCATTTTCCGCGGGAACATTATCCCGGAAACCTGCGCTCTAATATATCTCCAAGGGCAAATCCGAGCCGGCCTTGCACGACCCGAGGACTTTCCGCTAAACCTCTGGGATATGGAACGCGTGTATGAAGGTGTCTACCAATTCCTCGAATTTTTCGCTGTCCTCACTGAAAATACTGGATGGAAAAACCTCCTTGTCCAGTGGGAGATTGTGTATGACTTAGCCACCTTGCTCAAAGAGTTGGAGGCAAGTATACCCAAAGGATCACTGAGCTCTATGAACTCTGTTGCCCCTGCAGCTTCACGTATTGCTGCCCAGACACCGCAAGATTCGTCAGAAACAACACAAGGAGCAAGCAACATTCCCGTCGCAGTTGAGCGACCGTATGACCCGAGCGATCCGGAACCCATTGATGCGGCCCCCGTCAGCGCAGGATCCAGAGCACAGTCTCCTCCCATAGGCAACGACGATCCCTCCGATTTCGAGTGGCGCAATCTGAAGAAACTGGTAGTTCTCGTTCTTTCATCGCTCGTGTGGCAATGCCCAGAGGTACAGAACCAGATCCGCAACCATGGTGGTCTGGAAACTATCTTGGCCTGTACGAATTTCGACGCGCATAACCCGTACATCAAGGAACATGCCGTGCTATGCCTTAAGTTTTTGTTAGAGGGCAACCGGGAAAATCAGAAAGTGATTGAGGAGCTGGAGGCGAGGCAGGTCGTTAGTCATGATGGTGGGATTCTGGAGAAGAGGGGTTATGAAGCTGTGATTAGTGAAGGGAAGCTGGCAATTCGTACCAAAAAGGATGTGCAGGAGAACCCCAGAGCTGAACCGTCGACTGTTAAGTCGGATAAATAGATGACACGTTTAGATCATTTATGAGAGACTGTTGGAATTAGGGGACAAGGTTTTGATACAGATGGAATGAAATTTAGCTGGGGATGGAGGAGTATCGATCTTCGTTTTGTTTTTTGGGGTTGATGATGGCGTCTTTATAGAATACCTGAATCTAGGGTCATCCTCCCTCTCTTTCATCTCTTTAGTTTAAGAATGCTGAAGATAACATTCTTCAGGTTATGATTTTGAATTGGATTTGCGTTAAAAGATTTGTATCGGGTGAGATAATCTACAGAAAGATGACAGTTTCATTCATCAGTACTATCTTGAAACATACTATACTAAAAGGGATGATGGATATTGAAATAAAAATCCCTGTGACGCATAACATTTAACTCCGTGCCTGCATTCGTCTTAAAATCAAGCATCACATTAAATCCAACGTAACGAAACAGTAACAACCGCAATCCTCTACAATTCCCTTCCCTGCCCAAGATACCAATACAAGAAGAGCTCACGCATACATCCCATCCCAATCTTCATCCTCATCATCTCCGTTCCCTTTCTTCATCAACCGCTCGACCCTCTCCCGCTCACGCTCGCGTTCCTTCTTGCCGAAATCAGTCCGGTCAAGTGGACATGTCCCGCGCAGCCGGAGCCAGGGGCGGACACATTCGAGGTCGAATAGGTGCGATGTGTGACACGGGAGACGGACGACGAGGGGATACGGGTCGTCAAGGAAGGGGTTGCTGCAGATAGGGCATGCTTGTGTGGATTTCAGGCTGGAGGTTGGAACGCGCTCGAGGCCTATGTGGAAGGGGAGGTTAGTTGATAGCCAGAAACGAGGGGACTGAAAAAAAGGGGGGAAAATCGGTTCAAAAAAAAATATTTAATAACTAACTCAAGTAAAACTAATGTAGACGCAAAAATATGGGTGGAATACAATAACATACCATCACAAAACGTTTCCCCAACCCCTTCCACCTCCCTGGGAGGTGCTTCCGCTTCCTGCAACAGGATCGAAATCATATTCGACAACAATCCTACTCCCCCCGTCGCATCTTCACCCTCCGCAACATTTCCCAGACCTTCATCACGCCCATCATGCACCGGGAACCCGTCCTCGCCTGTCTCGTGGCGCATGACATTCAGAGCCTCTGCGAGTGACCTGTAGGCTGCGCTGATGTCGCCTGGCACGGGAACAGCATATGGCCGGGTGCGTACCTCACTGGGGTTCGGAGTGATTTCTTGTAGGGTTGCGAAAAAGGAGGAGAGGTCCGGGCGGCGGGGAGGAGGCCTTGTGTTAGTGGTATTGTTGTCAGCGGGGGTGGTGGAATGCTCAACTGCGGTGAGGTGTTAGCGGTTTTGGTTTCATGGTTTGCAGAGGGAATAGAGCTGCGATAGCCTGAGGTTGACTCTGGAAAGAGGAAGCTCAAGCTGATATTGCAGCCTGTTTGTTGTGCAGTGGGATGGAGACTATGCTCATACATACTTTCGTAGGACATGGTGGTACTTAGTTATTTGTTTCGGTTTAGAAAACCTAACGGATTCTTGCTCATTAATAATCGATGGGATTCTGTGTACAGGGTTACCCAAATAACTAAAGAGCGTGGGAGTTTTTTCCTCGAGTTTGTTCTGCCTTTGTTGTGAGTAGTGGCTCGCTGGCTTTAAGTTGTTCTGTTGCCAGAAGATTGGTGATGTTTGAGGCAGAAGATTTGGCACGTCATCACCAAAAAGATTAGGGAGGATGGATAATGCTAACCCCTTAAAATGCTGAACAACATGGATTAAATTGGATTAGAAAATTCATTGATTACATTTGAAGCCTTCATAGTTGAAAAGCCAACATCGTATATTCACTGTATTATAAGTTAACATATATAATCGTCAGGTTACTATCCCATCAACATGGAGCCTCAGGGTCCGTATGCCCACCTGGGTATAGTTATTACAGTTTCGGGGATATATACAACAAAAGAAGATGAAAAAAAGAAACTTAACAAAGATAAAATAATTAAGAAGGCTCAAGTGGGGGGAAAAATATTCAGTAATTAAAATCCTCGTAAACAACATTCTTCCCTGTAAGCCAATTCAGCGCAGCAGTCTTTAGGCCGGTACCTGCACACAAATACCATTCCTCCGCCCCGGGGACATCCAAATCCGCCGCTTCCAGTCGCCGGCGATGAACTTGTTGTACATCGGAGCCGTGTATAGCTGTCAAGGTATTTTGTTGCTCATCGGTAAGTGGCTTCTCAGCCTGTTCAGATCTAGTTATGAAGAGAGCGGTAGATTTTGGTAGTTTGGGAAATAATTTAAAGGTGTCGAGCACCAGTCCAAGGTCCTGAACGGCAACAGACCAAAATAGTCGTAATCGGGATATATCTATACCCGGAAGCTGTGCAATAAGTGGAGTGATCCCTATCCCACCGGCAATGTATGGAAGAGGCACATTCTTATCCGTAGTTTTATCCTCGAATCTGAACTCGCCACCATACCCCTTAAGCAACACTTCGACCCCGCTCCGCTCGCCCGATCGGAAGAGATGGCTGGTAGCGGCCCCTTTCTTCCTCACTATAATTTCGAATTCGTCATCAGCGAGGTTCCTGCCCGGGTATGACGATACGGTGAAAGTGCGAATGTAATCGTCATTGAGGCTTGTGGGATCGTCATCCTTCATATGGCTGTATCCCATATCGAGTTCCCCTGCAAATGACAGTGTGGCGTACTGGCCCGGTGTCCACTTCCCGGACTTTGAGGGGTCAGAGACCTTGAATCGGAATCGACCAATGGAGGGAGTGATGATGTCCTTTCTGATGAAAGTGGCGACAGTTGATCTCTCATCTGATACCTGGGCAGACGGCACCACTTTCTCAGTTGTTAGATACCGTACCCGCGGGTTGTATGGAGATGGATCGCCGGGTTGGCCGCGAAATGGGAGTCCGTTTTCAACGTATTTTGCTTCCAATATTGTAGCCTTGACTGCAAGGTTTGATCTTGGGAGGAGGGCAATTGCATCGCTCCCAATCAAGATTTCCGTTTTGCCTGTGAGATAGAGAACGTTGCCAGTTTCAAAGTCTGGGATGACATACCCCGCAACCGGGGTGGTTTGTAGGTTGCCCAGAGTTTGATACAGACGATTTCCCGAGTACTCAGGGTAAGCCAGCACGGCCCCACTAACTTCGTTGGAGACTATACGGACAAAACCACGCGGGCCTCCGCGGATATTGGTATCCATAGAGTCTTTATGATATGATGAAATAAAAAATGTGTCAGCCTTAGCCAGAAGTTCGACCGCACCAGGGGAAAGTTGTTTAGAGTCTGATATCAATTTAGGGTCCGGTACTGTAGGGATAATGTGTTTTCGATTTATATATTTTGGGCAGTTTCCTGTCAGGTCTAGTTAGATAAAGTGCGTTTAAAAGCACCCGGGGTAAGGTGGTTCTCAAGGGAGTAAATGAACGGCACGAGAGTTGGGGGTAAGGAGCTCACCAATACTCTGATCAATTTTCATGGCCAGCTGTGCCTGACCAGCATGTCTGGGTTCCTTGCCTTTCTCATCTGGATTCATAGCTTGCAGTCCCGCTAGAGATCCTGACACCATCCTCCCGATCAATTTAGCCCGCTTCCTGTTCTCCATATCCACGGATAAACCAGACATTAAACGGCCCTCACATTCCTCCTTAATCAATTCTCCATTAACTTTACCACCAAAAAGCGTTCCCACAACAGGGTCATACGACTTATCGACCAAATTGCTGATCCCAATGATGGATTGCGAGATAGGTCCAGCGAAACCAGCTTCGCCACCCCATAGTGTAGTCCACGGTTGTCCTTGCTTGTCTATGGTGCCTAGGGCGATTAACGGTGACTTCTGCACTAAATAAGCGGCACCAGGACTGAGGTATGGAGCATTGGGGTTCTCATTTTCGGGCACATGCATCAGTTTGTGCATTTTCTCCTCGCCCTCATGCCATGGCACACTGCCTGCGATGACGAAGGACATGGCAGTAATCGTGTATTTTAAACGTGATAGATAGAAGCAAGTAATGTATTGAAACGCCTAGATTTATCTCCTAGTGATGTTGAAAGTTGTTCGTCGTCAGAGACAATAACCACGGTCTCTTGCTTCGGAAGTCGGGTTAGATATGTGTTTGCACAGAAACCTTTTCCTTCCAGGTACAGAGAGTATTTGTCAACATTTCTTGCGGTGGAGTTTATAAGCAGCTTGGCCTAGAACGAAATCCTTGGAAGAAATAGTCCTGTATTGCATAATGGTTGTAGAATGACTTTTGGGAATTGGTGTTCTTATCCCGATGTCGCTCCAGCTCGTAAATTAGTTAACCCCTCCCGTTCGGAATCTCCTCACTCTTGGTGCCGAAGAGGAATTTAGGAATGAGGAATCATCATTATCACGCCGACCAATGCGTAAGACAGCATGGGCTGCATATGTCTTTTGAGAGCGTCATATCACCATGGTTTCTCCGCATAGGATATCCATACAGGTTGTTAGACGAAGGGCGTCATCACGATTTGACTGAATAGCCCTAACTAGATGGTGGCTTGGCTGGGATGACTAAACCAAGCCCAGAACCTGCTTTGTCCACTTCGTTTCTATTCTCCCGCATTCTGAAGCTCAGAAGAAACGACAAAATGACATTTATTGAGTGGTAGTCACAGTATCTGCCGGGCGGAGTGTATTCCAGCTGGTTCCAGCTCGTTGCGCCAATGATTTCATGTCCTTGATGGTGTGCATCACTGATCACAAAAGGAGTTGGATCTGGCTTGCTGTTCATTCTACTGAATCATTCATGTCTTTTTGATTGCTTTTCAGTGCCCTTAACTATTCCCCCTTGAGACTGCTCTCCTGCGACCTCCCTGTTGTTGATTTATGCAAAATGGTGCCATAATATCTTCCATTCAAAACCCTTCCGGAAACCTCATCCTATATTAAAGGGGGAAGAACCTAACATGCCTATGCGACGTTTATCCCAGCTGGCAATTAAGCTAATGACACAATGGCGGTAGCAGAAGTCCAAGAATGACCACCCCGCCTGGAAATATGGGTGGCTTCAACCGGGATTATTTGCCCACTGCTTTGGCATTTAACAAACGTTCAGTGGCTGGATTTGCCCTACTCTGGAACCGCTTGCTACAAGATTTTGAATGTGTGGTTGAACTTTTCAGAAGTCAACCAGAGGTGGCGCTAGTCGCCAATGAGCTGAAACTTCAGCCAAGCTATACCACACACGTTCAGGACCTCACCAGAGTTTCACTGCGAGTCTCAAGAGTCAAGAGTCAACATTGAGCTTCGGTCAATTTCATTAGCGCTGGCTTCAATCGCATTTTTCTTGTGGTTGTCTGGATGATTTACAGTGTGTTCGAATGATGGCTCGTCGATCTGATTTTAAAGTGAAGATTGCAACGGACGGATGAGATTGCCCGATGACATTTACTGCTTCTATGGATCGGATCAGTTGGTACCTGATAGGGCTGAGCCAAATATATGGCATGAAGGGGGATTTTTACCAAGGACGTTTGGTGATACTTGTCCCTGTCCGAGCCTGCACGAACCCCCTTTTCTGTTGTCATTGAACTTTTTTTGACATTGAGTGAAGGGCACAGTGTCTAGCCACGTGTTTGATCATCCGAAATCCTGAATTCTGACAATATACTCCACATGGATATAGAGCACCCGGCCGGGCCGGGTCTGAAACTGGATTTCGTTCTTGAAATCTCCGATCCCAGGTTACGGGATTACGGGCTGTGTCATGCATCGGTTTCGAACTGTTGCTGGAGATATTACTTCCCTAAACGATGATACTGCTTTCGAAGCTGAAGGTTTCTTACACACCTGTTCCTTATTCCTGCTGTCGCTTCCGAGGGTAGTATTGTTGGTTTATGGGTTTTGTTCCAGGGAAGGTCATCCGGATTGACCAGTTTCAGGTTTAGGGGTCTGGAATGATATTCATATTTGGAAGTTATATCTACCTTGGATTGATAGATATAAAGAAGAGGATATGAGACAGTGTTTTCTGGTTTTTTTTGTTCTTCTTCTTCTCTCTCTCACACACAATAAACTGGATATCGTTGATTAATTTGTGTGTAGTCTCTCTTTCAAAGGTCTCTTTTTTCCTTCCTATTTCTAACACTCTATATATTTCTTAGCTTGCTGCTCAACCTACCTTTGTATTACATTTTACGTTCAATTCCTCTCTCATAATGGCCAAGTCTACTCCCAAATCTCTCCTCTTTGCTCTCCTTCTTGCCAACTGTGAGTCTCAAGAAGGCCTATGTTCTGGCATCAATCATACATTGTGCTAACGTTTGCTCTCTCCCCTCATAAGTGGTTCTCCTTGTCCTCGGCCAAGGCACACAGTTCATTACAGGAGTATGCTCCAGCGATGCCGATTGCGCCTCCGGATGCTGTGGGTTCAACACCGGGAAATGTGCAGGCGCAATTGTCGCCCAGGAACGTGACGGCGGCTGCGGATTTGGTGATGGGCAGCCAAACAGGAACGCGGCCGATGCTCTAGTTGGGAACAACGGGAACAACGGTAACAATGGTAATAGCGGTGCTGGAGGACAAGCTCAAGTCACCCCGGGGTCTCAGTTCATTACCGGCTCTTGTAACAGTGATGCCGACTGTGCGTCTGGCTGTTGCGGTTTCAACACTGGCAAATGCGCGGGTGCCATAGTGGCCCAGGAGCGTGATGGCGGGTGCGGATTTGGTGATGGGCAGCCCAATGATAATGCAGCCCAGGCGCTGCGGGGCAACAAGAGGAGATTTGCGTTTACTTCTTAAATCACTACACCCATTCACCCCTAAGGATGTGATGTCGATTGGCTACGCAAAGCGGTGATAAAAAAATTTTCTCTTCACCATTTCATGTTTCCTGCTTTTCTCTGCGATAAAATCAGTCTCGAATTTTGTTTTGCTCCCGCATATCTCCGGCAGTATCGGGAACAACTTTTGTATATACAGAGTGAAATCGGGAATTGTCACTCGATTTGCAGTCGTGTACAAATGCTCGCTCGTTAGTTTGGATCTTATGTGTTCGCCCTTTTTTGATGATAAGAGATGCGCCTGTTGTGGACTTTATGTGATATGGCATGTTGTATGTTTGTGTCATACTAGAAATATATTCAACCAATGAGAATCAGCTTTGCTTCCTCTCTGTTTCCTGGCATTGTTCACGTAAGCAGCTGAATTTCTGGGTCTCTTGCTCAAATTTTTGCCTGGTCCTCCCTGATTTCACGCCATAGCGGTCGATCCGCTATCCAGCGGATATCCCTAGTTGCTCAAAAGGGAAGCTGGAGAAATCAGCACAAACAAAGAGATATGTGTTTATTTTTCCGCAGGTGACTATAGAGTAGAATCTATGTATAATACTCCGTATAGCTTCTCGTGATCGGTTCTCTGTCTTGCATTCGCAGCTACATCAGCTCTGTTGTGAATACTACAGAATGCTGCGTCCTAGCGCCAAATGTCTCATAGGTCATCCTAGATATTTGACGAATCTGGCGAATAAAGAGTATTTGAGTGAGAAACAGAGAGAAGAATGATTTGCTATTTATCAGCTTCAATCACTGGTCCGTTGTTGTGATTTGAAGGGAGTATGGGATACGATGTCGATCCTTTACGATGTTTGGGTGCTATTAATAGCATCACACCGAGGGTCAACTAACCTTCGATTCCAACTTCCACGGGCTTAACTGACAACGAAGAATCTCGAACCCCGCTCTCTGTTTGTACATACCTACTTTTGCATCTGGCCCGGAATTAGATCACGATATATGGCTTTTCTGCGATGGCCTTCTATTCATTCTTCTATTACAGCGGTCTTGGGTATTGCACCCCTGGTCCCCGTCCAATTAAGCATCAGGGGTGGCAACCAGATGGCGCTCACTGGCTTCAGCAAGCAGTCTGAGAAACTAATGAAGAAGAAGAAAAAAGAAAAGCGCCCTGTAGCTTATGCCTAGATATCCTGGTGATCCAGGGAGCCCTTCATGCATTGGACTAGTGTGCTCCAACCTTCTCCCTGGACCTTCTGCCCATTACACAGTCGTTGCTATGCTCGTATTTTAAGACATTCCAACCCCTCTGCAGCTCCAGAGACTGGGCGTGCAACATCACCAAATATCTGACAGGATTAGACACGTCCGGTATCCAATCAGTGGTGGGTCAGCTAGCAAGGGTTTCCTATTTACGGTTTGCTGATCGCATGGGCGTCGATCTCTGCCATGCAAAATGGTATCATTCGCTTTCAACGGCTTTGAGGCCGATTTTTGTTTGTTTAAATGTCTCGGTATCCCTGGCCCTTCGATCTTGACCGCTGGTAGCTCCGAAGCTCAAGCTTTTTGTTCAGTGTTGTTCAATAGCTGGGGTCCAGAAATCCAGAGTGGAACCACCTCACACCTCCAAGGAACAGAGCAAAAATGCGGAGGATGGAGACTTTGGGGTAACTGCCAACGTGTTGATGGATGGCTTAGCAAATTGGTTACATGGGTTGCGGAAGCTTGCTCACGCCATGACCCGTCTTTGCATGCTTTTCGAGCGGCTTCAGAGCTCCCTTAAAATCACATACCCGTTCGTATATTCTTCAGGCGTGACATGCTCCCTCCCCCGCAGGCACTATCTCATAGCTCGATTCGGTAGAAGTTGCGCTACTGCTACTGCCTTTTCAGCCTCACTGAGACATTTCCCATGCTTTTTCGTCACTCAGGAGATCTCCAGCGGCCTAGCCGGATGCTCAGTTAAGTTTAGAACTCGCGAGTTCTTGTGGTTGGCTTGGGCGCTGACTCACACTCTTCCTTTACACCGTCGATATACGACGGTGGTTGTTTAGATTAGTGATAAACTGATACACGGACTTTTAGGTTATCGTGAGCCAATAGTTGCTTTCGATCTCAACGTGACGGGAGAGCCAAGGGGAGTGCAGAAATTGAGCAAGATGTAGAGCCGGACTTCACGGACATTGCCTGAATCTAACTCTTTGAGGATGTTATGGCATGTTGCCGTCTCGCATCTATCCTATGTACGGTTCCAATACGAGGATAGCTGATTGTTTTTATTGGTAACATCATATGCATATTCGCTGCATGTCTGAGGATCGATAGGCATATAAAATCCCTCTACCTACCCTCCCTTGAGTTTTCAGCTTCTTCTTACAAGTTCGTTTTCCTATCTTCAAGCATCTGTACAAACATCTGTATCCAACACCACTATCTGAATATTCTGTGCTTGATATAGCAAAGATCAATTATCATCAATAATGCGTTTCTCTCCCCTTCTTCTCGGCGCACTTGCCGCCCTCACCCCCGCCGCCCAAGCTGTGGGCAACGCCATCGTGATAAACAAGTGCACGTTCCCAGCTTTTCTGAACTCTGTCGGCAGCCAGATCGGCCCTGAAAAGTACCTGGCTCCTAATGGTGGGCGCTACAGCGAGCCCTTCCGCCGCGACCCTCAAAGCGGTGGTATTGCACTCAAGATCACCCGCGAGTCTGGCGGTTTGGTAAAAGGGGCCCCGCAGACTATCTACGCATATAATCTCAACAACAACCTGATCTGGTACGACTTGTCGAATGTGTTCGGCAATCCATTCGAACCCAAGGCTCTGAGGCTTTCACCTTCGGACACCAGGTGTCCAACCATCTTCTGGCCAAATGGCGTGCCGCCCGCCGGAAGCCAGACGAGAAACTGCCAGCCAAACTCTGATGTGATACTGACGTTATGCGCCTGATCTGGGGGATTACGGTATGTTCGTCCTGTTTCTTTCCCCCTTTTGCTTACATGTTGTAGATAGTTCACATCCTAGAGTAGTCTAACCAGTAACCTGCTTATCTAGAAATACCCCCCGAATGATTTCTTTTCGCTGACTAGGTAATTTTAAAGAAAAGGGAATGAAATGAACCATGAAGTATATTGCTGCTATAAATTAGCTTTCCTGATTTAATGTTTTAAATGTTATGTCTTGCACTCTTTATTGTCTACAGGGTTCGAGGGATTCTCCATGTTTGCCTCCCACAGAATTTCCAATTCAGTTGTCCTTTTTATACTAAGTATAAATTACAAGTGACTGTTCACATGCTGCTGTTTTTGGTGGATTGTAACTATGTCTTCCTGCCGGACCGTCGTTTTTGCATTTCTCAACGACTTGATGAGTTTCCATCTTTCCACTCTTTCCATGTGTTTGTGCTCGCGTTGTGAGTTGACAAGTTTTAATTTCCAGCCCTTCCGCGATGATGAAGTTTTGTGTACTTAATTTTTTTTTTTTCTTTCAGCTTAGATATAAATGGACCTCCAAGGATGCTCTATTTCTCATAAAAATTTATCATTGTATGAGAAAGAAAGATATATTTTTATCACTATTGTTTGGAGAGAGAGAGAGAGAGAGGAATGAGAAATGGAAAAGGTTTTTACACATTCAAGATTCCTTGTTACATAACTACAGCACGACATAAGCCCGTACAACCATTCTCCACACAATATGCTAATTTTTCTTCTCCCCCATTTATCTAGCGGGTGTGTATGGGGCTGGGCTTTAGGCCCGGGGACTTTTCTTGAGTAGTTAGGCCAGCAAAAGATTCACGACCATGCGACCTGCTCTGCTCTGCTGGACTCCGGCGGATGAGACGGGAACAGCCTAAGATATGCGCGACTGCCAGGATGTATATGTATGTACGTAGTAAATCCATTTACAGTACAATGCAGGGGGGTTGGTGGAGTGGTGTTGCGTATCTGCAGGCAAGCCGTTGTGGGGGGCAAGGGTTTATCTATCAACGCCAAATGAAGACGTACATCCACCCGCGTGGAAGTTGCTAAACCGTTACGAAATTGCAAATTCAACCAAATTCATTGGGTATTTAGTGATTGTACTTATATATCGCACAGCAGAAGTCTAAGGCCTGACGGGTCAGGCTGGCAGAAATCATACAGGCAGCCATCGGATGGGCAGGTACCCGGCTTCGCGAAGGAGCACATGAGTAACGGAACAAGCTGTTCGAACGCCGCGGGCCACTCTGCAGGTTGAAAAGTATCGGCGACTACGAACAGATTGACCTTGGCAGTCAAAAAACTAGCCAGAGGTTGAGGATCATGAACCTTTCGGGTTGACAGGGACAAGTTGACCCAGGGGATTCTGCCGAACCTTGTCCTTAGGCTGGAATCCATAGCATCCACTGAGACATCATGACTCCTGGTGTTCGATTTTTTATTTTTATTTTTACTTTTATTTTTGGCTTTGCTTTGACGTCCTGGATTGGTCCCTGTGAATTGATAAATGTGCGGGTACATGTTCAGTGTAACCTGGAAGTGCTGACTGAATTCAAGGTCAACGACAACCAGAGGGCGCTTCTGGCTAGGGTCGGATATTCATGTAAAATGCCTTATCCTGGATGGCACGGGATGCCATTAAACAAATGCGGATAGAATATCCATCCCCTTCACCTGGGACTGGAAGAAATGGTGGCCGAGCTGAATCCTAACACATTCACTGGCGTTGGCAATGATCTGGTTGGAACCACGATGTAACCGACGTTAACTGAGAAATAGAACAATCGGTATAATTTTTTCTCGTCTTCCCACTCCGACATAGTTGTATGGCCGATCTTCTGATTATTTGCTGCACAATGTCATAGAAGAAAATAGATCTCAGGTCAAGCATGGAATATTTAAGATCTGAAAGGGCGAATATTAGTCTGCTGATGATTTATAGAATCAGCACAGAACGAAGATACTTTCTCAATCCTCAATTATAAGTGGCTGGCAGAGAGTAAAGATAGGAGGAACTAGACCCTTCTCCATAGAGGAGGATGTTGCGAGGTGTAACTGGATACTTCAGATATACGCTGCAACATCCCAGTTAATGCGAACTGCTAAGACTTGGGATGAAACATCGATACCGCTCTTCTCGGGGAGTGGTGTAAAAATAACCAGGTACAGTAGGGAGAAGAGAAGGTGGGTTTTTGTGGCGTGTAGCGCAAATGCTTGTCTTGGTGCGATGGGATATAGATTTTCAATTGAACATAAATTTCCCAATTTCATATGCTAGCACTAATAGTTATACGTGTGGTAGTCAAGCCGAGATGGTAGACGAGAGACGAGGGGCATTCCAGATACACATCCTATTTCACTCGGTGATCACTCCGCCACAGCCGTGAAGTGGAATACGAGACGGACGGCAACTTTGCTAACTAGTTAGTTGGCGGGTTCCTGGGCTTGGCGGTTAGGTCGTTGCGGCGCCAAATCATTGAGCAATTAGCCACTAATCTTGAAAAGGACAGGCTTAAGATGTTTTGTAGTGATTTGAAAAGGCCTTGGGGAACTGCTCCCGTGAGCTACGGAGTAGAACATATAAAGGGCATGTATATTTTGGTTTCTCTGTTATACATACAGAGTATGTATGCCCTCCCAAATTAGCAACAAGTCACAAATATAGGTCGAGATGGAAATATATCAAGAGGTCAAGATAGAAAGAAATAGCAGAAAAATGGAAAAATGGGATTGTTGTTCAATTAGACGCTTGGCTGGCTGGTCTGGTTAATCTAAACGGGATAGTATATATGGGCAGACAAAAAGAGGCATAGATTGAGAACGAGAATAGATGGTTAGTTGACCATCTACATGATGACTTCGTTGGCAACGTCCTAACAGTGCAACAAGGGAATTTCTTAGTTCGCGCGTTAATTTCCAAATGGAGATGGGGAAGAATGAATGGAGAAACAACGTACCCTCTTCAACTCCTTATACGGCAAGCAAACGCAGTTTTGCACCCTCACTTCATCGCCCACCGCACACTCCTTGCCTAAAATTGTAATACTCTGTACCTTAACTCCGTTCTTGATGATTGTTGTCGAATGACTCCCCACCGGGATCGGTGTACCCTCCACTCGTGCCCATGCACCCACACGGCTACTCCACCCGATGATCGAGTACATGACACACGAGTCATGTTTAATCTCTGCATCCTCAAGGACGATGGACTCCTTGATCCGCACACCCGGGCCAATCACAGCGCGGGCACCAATGGACACATTGGGCCCCAGTTTCGCAGTTGGGTCGACGGTGGCGGTCGGGTGGATGTAGACGGGTGGTACGATGGTGGCCGAGGGCACGGAGATCTCTTCGGACTGTGACTGGAATGCTTGTTGAAGATAGAGGGCATTGGCGGGCACGGCAGAGCCGGCTGTTTTGATCTGGCGCCAGAAGTCCTTGGTCTCGTGGACGAAGAAGCGGTTGCTGTCAGCCAGGTCTGAGAGGATGTCCTGTTCTAGCCGTAGGACTTCGGGCTTTTCTCCATCGTCGACATGGTTGGCAATTTGATATGAGTCGAGGTTGTCGGACGATGGGTAAGAGAGGAGGCGTGGGCGCGCCGTGCGTCGCTTGATTGCGCTACGGATAGAGGGGAAGATGCATTCCGTGGCGAAGAGGTAGACGCCGCAGTTGATTAGGTTGGAGATATGGGATTCGGGTTTCTCGACGTAGTGTACCACGCGTTTTGAATGGCTGTCGGAGACGATGCAGCCAAAATTAGTCGCAGCTTCGTTGCTCACTCGTGTTCCTAGTATGACAGCCTCCGCGTCCTTCTCTTCAAACAGCTTGAGCATCTCACCCAGCGGGAACGAGCAGCAGACATCGGCGTTGAGGACGAAAAAGCGCTCAGGATGACCCTTCAAAATAGCGTCACGGAAATGGTAGAGACCGCCTGCAGTGCCGAGAGCCTGGTATTCTCGGAGGTATTGGATACGGATATTGGGGAACTCTTTGGAGGAGTCCTTGATGAAATCACGGAAGACAGTTTCGTCGTAATACCCCACCAATATGACCTCTCGGACTACCTTAACTTTGGCAACGGCTTTCAGGCAATGCCAAATGATGGGGTGACCGGCAACCTCGAACAAAGGCTAAAAGGGGGGCGTTGTAGATAATTCCGCGTCAGCGTGGTTCGCTCCAAAAGAGCGCGTTCTGGTGACTGGGTAAGGGTTTTGAGACTTAGCGGCGGAGGGTGGAATGTTAAAATACCTTCGGGACATCGAGGGATAGAGGTCTAAATCTGGTGCCTCTTGAGGGCCCGCCAACCTAACACAAGCATTGTCAGTCAGATTTAACTGGTGTTTGATGTGAGCGGTTGCATACCAAAATAACGGCCTTTGTGGAGGCCATATCTGATTCTCTGATAGGGAGGTTGAGCATGGACGAAGATTTGCACTTGGCTTGCGACGTCGTTAATGAGATAAGGGAAATTGGTAGTAATGGGACTCTTGAGGGCTTTCTTTGCTAATTGTAGACGCAATGATTGTCTCTAGGTTACGCGTAACTTGATTAGTTTGTTAACTTAAGAGGAGGTGGCGGAAATTCGCAGCTGTAGGAGGACGGGTGGCAGATCAAAATCAAGCGCCAAAGCAACTAAGTAGTAACTACTCTGCAGTTATCCTTGTTACCAAACAGCAGTTTATCCAATTGGTCTCCTTAGATCTTTTCCTCTGTTGTTGCTCTCGGGTTTTCTTTTGTTGTCGAAGAAGGGGTTGGGATAGATCGCCGCACGTGATCCGGGGGTTATCTGGCAGGTTTTGAACCTTAACCTCACTTTTTCAACGTTCTCCTGGACACAAGCGTCTGGATATCTTATTTGTTGTTGATATTCCACCGTTCTGCAGATGGAGCTATGTAAACAATTAAATACAAGTAGCGACCCTGAAATATGCTCTGGGGGCCTACTACTGCCAGCTTACCACCCAGTATCTGCTGGAGGCTCTGTTGCTCTGCCCAACGTGTTGCCAGTAAGCGAGGGCCTTGCATGAACAGTCCGCTGTGAGGTTATCCCCAACCTCAGCGCTCAACAACACAACACCCTGGGTTGATTTTGTGCATCTTTACAGCACACTTTATGAATAGCACCAGCCAATGGCGGTAGGATCTGCATTTCTGTTCCCATATTTCCCTCTCTTCTGCCTACCAGAGTGTTGCTATAAAGCAACACCTCCCGCTCAACGCCTCCCTCTGTTCTAATTTTCTTTCCCAATGAAGAGATCTCTTCCATCTCCTCCGTCTCTTTCATGCTTTCTATCAGGCTGGAGATAGAACTAGCAACCTTATTGTTTCTGAAATTACTTCCTTCATTTCGCTCCTTTTCTCCTTTGCTTTTCCTGTTTCCTCATCCAAAACATTCTCAAGAGACAACAATTCCTAGTGTTTCCCAACCCCACAGGGTGGTTTCATGCTTTTATCCAACGTACATTTTATCCTGCTTCTTCTTTTTTTCTCTATACACCCTCAGTTTAATACTTCATCTACTGCTTTTCCACTCCCAACATCTGTACGAACCCGGCTATCATGGTCCCGATGACCCTCAGAAGCTACTGTGTTCCGGACTCTCCGCGTATGTTTGTTCCTGTCCTGTGTTGCATATATGCAATTTCGGCTAATGACATGTATTTAGAAACGGTTGGCGAAAGCTCCTCACCCGTTGGCGAAGTCAATGACTCCATAGATATGATTTCGAAAACCACGAAGGCCTTCGTGAAAAAAATCCAAGATCTACGACACCTTGGTGTAGAAAATAACAAACTACCACTGCCTAAGATCTGCGTCGTAGGAGATCAAAGCACTGGAAAAAGCTCGCTGATTGAAGGGATGAGTGAGATCAAAGTGCCCCGAAGCGCTGGCTGTTGCACCCGATGCCCATTGGAGATCAATCTAGCCGACTGCGATCAACCAGATCCAACTTGGACCTGCAAGATATTCCTTATGAAGAAATACATCTACAGCAGCAAGGTTATGAAACGCGGTAGAAAAGGCGGGGGTTTGGGCCCATGGATCGAGCAGGACCCGGAACACATTCCTTTCATCACATTGACCGACAAAGCTGGCGTTCAAGAGGCGTTGAAATGGGCGCAGTTGGCTACTTTGAACCCATCTACCCCATATGAGGAGTACATTCCGGGGCACAATGTTGGAACAGATGAGAGTACTCAGGTAAAGTTCTCACCAAATGTGGTCCGTCTTGATATCTCTGCACCGCATTTCCCAAACCTATCATTCTATGATCTCCCAGGTGTCATCAATGTCGCAGAAGTTGGTGGGGAAGAGTATCTGGTGACTCTTGTTGAAAACCTTGTGAGGCAATATATCTCATCAAGTAACTGCACTGTTATTTTGACGCTTCCAATGACGGATGATGCCACAAACTCAAGTGCGGCTAGGATTATTAGAGAGGTTGGGGCAACTTCAAGAACACTGGGGGTTCTTACTAAACCGGACCGCATTGGTTATGGGGAGGGATATGACCAGTGGATAGAGATCCTGCGTGGTGACAAGTTCATAGTTGGTCATAGCTATTATGTCGTTCGAAACAATCCAAATCCCCAAGTCGAGTATGCTCAAGCTCGTGAGGAGGAGGTTGAGTTTTTCAACACGGGCCCTTGGAAAAATGAACTTTCTGCACATAGTGAAAGATTCGGCACCCGTAATCTGCAGATGGCCCTATCAAAGCTGCTGAAGAAGCAAATAGAACACAGTTTACCTGGGATTAGAGATCAGATTGAGGTTCGAGCACAGGCAGTCGAAAATGAGCTGATGACTCTGCCTGATCCGCCCTCTGCAAACATTCAATTCATATTGTCCGACAAATTGAATGACTTCAACAATGTCATATGCAGTCATATGAATGGTGGCTCCGTGGGATTGGATTTCCCTCTGCAAAAGCAGTGGATGAAGATTGCGGCAGATTTCCAGCAGAGCCTATTAATAACTCGACCAACAATGAAGATAGGAGCGGTCGTGGAGAAATATCCCTCCAGGAGAGTACCAAATCAACACTGTAATACATCGATCAGCTTTGACGATGGGGATTGCGAGATTACGGAGAGCCGCCCTTCACCCAATAAACGCAAAGCGGGCACGTTAGAACCCGATCCCGGTGTCAAACGACAGATGAAGTCACCACTGCTGCAAAACTCCTCAGCTTCTAATCAGAATGGGTATTTGACTAGACGCTTTGACCGATTTACAAGTTCGTATTTGATGTTTAATCCCTATAAGTCTATCGACTTGTCACTAACTTGAAGTGTGGGGTAGGACCTGTCAAAATATTTAGCCTCGAAGATATCAGAGAAATTAGTAGCAACACTTATGCCTCGGGGGTGCCTGGACTTGCGAACCCGCTCGCAGTGGAAACAATGAACAAGCTCAGCGTTAAGCATTGGGATCAACCAATGGAAGAGTTCCTAGCCGCCACCTACACCTTAATGGAAGGGTTTCTTATGGAGAACCTAGACGTGGTCTTTTCCTCATACCAACGCACAGCACTCTATGGAGAGTTAAAGGGTATTATTTTGAATTTTCTACAGGTATTGAAGGAGCCGCACCTCCGCCACACTAGTGAATGCTACCAAATCGAGTGCACGAAGCCATTCACGATGGCCAGTGAAACATTTCAGCGAGCTCAGAAGGATGCCTTCGATTTCCTGAAGGCAAAAAGACAGGAATGTCGGGCAGCTCAGTTTGTTAATTCGGGGGGTGTAGCACTGAATGGAAGAAGAGTTGAGCCAGATAAGCTCACCGATGCAGATATGGGGGAAGATGAGTTTACCAGAGAGATTGAGATTATGGCTGTATGGTTCATGAACCTCCATTTCCCACTTGCGCAGGTCAATTAATATGGACATGCTACGCAGGCCTCCAGGGCGTACTACGAGGTGGCAAGTTCTCGTTTCGTCGATACTCTTTGCCAGAGCGTTCACTCGAAGCTATTCATTAAGTTCGACAAGGAACTCCGTTCTGTCATCCTCAAAGAACTTGGAATTTTGAATGATAACGGTACGTGTCTCTATCTATGTGAATAGATACGTATCTTATCTCCCCCCAACACCTCCCGTGATATCCGTGTGTAAAATTTCAGCTTCTCTCTGTTCCATGCGGCTAATCCACTCATTTTCTACTATGTATTCACCTAGCGTCCGAACGCTGCCTCGAACTCATGGTCGAAGATCCTGAACGGCAAATGCGCCGACGTGATTTGAAAAAGGAGCAAGACAAACTTAAAAAGGCGATGGAGTCGTTGAGGATTATCGAGGACGATGCTGGGATGCGTGATTTTGTTATGCTCAACGCCGACCAAGTCTGAGATTCTAACCAATTTGTAATCGCTATTGTTTTTTCCCCCTTAAAAAGAGGAGGGGGGGAAGAATGATGATGCTTTCGTGTGGGGATGTTGATGCTTCTTTCGAGGTGAAGTATTCTGGGCTTTCTGGTGCTTGCTGTCTCAGTTCGATCATTTTTCCTGAATCCGGGAAGAAATTTACTAGTAAATTTGCATGTCCTAGTCCATTTCTTCTTCTTTCTGGTAAATATTTAGCCTGTTCTAGGTTGGATTGATTGATGGTGAACAGTTTTGGTCCCTGCACTCTGTATTATCCACCCTTCTACTTCGGCAGTTAGTGTACGAGATTTGTGTAGAGAGTTCCCTAGAACAAAATGAAGGGATATGACATATGCCGAATGCGGATTACTTGTATTACCCAAGTCACCCGAGAAGATCCCTCTTTGGTCTCCTCGTTGACTTTGCTGATAAACCCCTTAATCTCGAGGCCCTCTGTATTTGTCTCCATTAGGAAATAGTAGGGTTTAGGGTTAGGGCCATATGAAAAGAGTAGCGGGAAGCAGTGAGAGAAACTGACTGATCCAGGACGAGGATTTACTTACATTGCATAAAAATCCTTTAAGGCTAATAAATATCGCTAGGGCGTAGTGTAGCCTAAGCTATATTTCATACTTAATAACTCTGCTACTGTTGGTAGGACGATCACACTCGAATTGGGCTCGGAGAAAAATAGGAGTGAAAGTTTTCTGTGATATTTTGACTCATCGATTTCAAGTATTTTAACTGCAGAATCAACTTTCAACCCTCCAAACGCATGCAAACCCCACCAACAATTGTATTTCGAAACAAAGAGTTCTGTCGCAACCCGCAATCAATCGCTTCGGTAGATATTGAACACACTCCAAGAACCCTCGCAAACTATCTGAAGCCCTGTGGACATCTCAAGCAAACCGAACTAGCATAGGCCACCTCATAAACCAGCTGCCCTCACTCTTAAACGATTAAACGATGGCGGGACCAGATCAGGACTCATCCGCTGATGCCGCCGCTGGGAATCTCGCCAACTTGCACCTCGACGAAGTCACTGGCGAAAGGGTATCCAAGTCAGAATTGAAGAAGAGACAAAAGCTGCGGGCCAAGGAGGCGGAAAAGAAGGAAAAGGCCGCTGTTGCACCGCCTAAGGCGGAGAAGAAGGCCAGTGCTGAGGAGGAAGAGAGCAATCTAACGCCTAATGTGAGTCTAACACTGTCTAATTTACTGTCTAATTTACTTCTCTTGTTTGGAATTTGGAAGAAGGGAAATTAACTGGTTTGATTTGCTTCCCCCTTTTGCCGCATTTATAGCAATATTTCGAGATCCGAAGTGGACGAGTGAACAAGCTCCGACAAACCAGGAGCCCCAATCCTTACCCGCACAAGTTCCAGGTCACGGACGATGCGCGGGAGATTATCAAGAAGTACGAGTCGCTACAGAAGGGAGATCAGATCAAAGAGAAGGAAGTGCGCATTGCGGGACGGATTTACACCAAGCGGTCGGCCGGTGCCAAGTTGATATTCTACGATGTTCGCGCGGAAGGCGTAAAGATTCAAGTTGCTTGCCAGTCGCAAAATGCGGAAGGCGATGTTTCCTTCGAAGCCCAGCATGAGCATCTGAGAAGAGGAGATATCATTGGTGTCGTGGGGTGGCCCGGCCGCACTGCTCCAAAGAACCGTGCAGATGGAGAACTGTCAATATTTGCCAAGGAGGTCATTTTGCTTGCACCGTGTCTGCACCAGATTCCTTCAGAGCATTATGGGCTTCGCGATCAGGAACAGCGATATAGACAACGGTATCTCGACTTGATTATGAACGACAAGTCGCGAAATGTCTTCATCACCCGGTCGAAGATGATTACCTACATCCGTCGCTTTTTCGATGAGCGTGACTTCGTCGAGGTGGAAACTCCAATGATGAACAGTATTGCAGGTGGTGCTACTGCCAAGCCATTCATTACCCACCACAACGATCTAAACATGGACATGTTCATGAGAGTCGCACCAGAGCTTTATCTCAAGATGTTGATCGTTGGTGGCTTAGAGCGAGTCTACGAGCTGGGTCGTCAGTTCCGAAACGAAGGCATCGACCTGACGCATAACCCGGAGTTTACAACCTGCGAATTCTATTGGGCGTATGCTGACGTTTACGATGTCATGAACGTGACTGAGGAGCTGGTTTCTGGACTCGTCAAGCACATCACTGGTGGCTACGAGACGACCTTCCACACCCAGACAGGAGAGGAGTACAAGGTCAACTGGAAGGCTCCGTGGAAGCGAATCGAGATGATCCCCGCCCTTGAGGAAGCAACAGGCGAGAAGTTCCCGCCTGGCGATCAGCTTCATACCCCGGAAACAAACGAGTTCCTCAAGAAGCTTCTCATGAAGGTGAATGTCCAGTGCAGCCCTCCAGAGACCAACGCGCGCATGCTGGATAAGCTTGTCGGGGAGTTCATCGAAGAGACCTGCATCAACCCCACCTTCATCACGGGGCATCCGCAGATGATGTCACCGCTCGCCAAGTACCATCGTAACAACGTCGGGTTATGTGAGCGCTTCGAAGCCTTCGTGTGCAAGAAGGAGATTGTCAACGCATACACTGAGTTGAACGACCCCTTCGACCAGCGACTGCGGTTCGAAGAACAGGCTTCGCAGAAGGCACAGGGCGACGACGAAGCGCAGATGATTGATGAGAACTTCTGTACCAGTTTGGAATACGGTCTCCCGCCGACTGGAGGCTGGGGAATGGGTATTGATCGACTTGTCATGTTCCTGACTGATAATTATAGTATTAAGGAGGTGCTTGCGTTCCCGTTCATGAAGGAGGATAAGAGTGCGGCTGCGAAGGAGGAGAAGTTGGCAGCCGAGGTTGTGGGTATTAAGCCTCTCACTGTGGAGGGAATTCGTGAGTTCTCCTACAAAACCCATTCCCCCCCCCCACCCCCCGGTGCTGTGCCATCAATATTTTTCTGGATTTTCTTGTATAGCCGTCGGTTAATTCTAACATATGCATCAGCACATAAATAAAATTCGAGGTGTGAGATGATATTTTGCTCGATTTCATGAATGACGTCTACATGGAGATGGATTACGAACCGATCAGTCCTATATAGGTTGTGAAAATAGAAGTCAGTCAGTCAATAGTTTTCATTCCTCGTGGGTCTAGGATAGTTGTCTTCTTTTCATCTTGGATCCCCTTTTCCTTTTCTAAAGAAGTTATTTAGAAATATCTTATAACGTTTCTCTGGGTGTGACGTCTACCTTTCCGGTGCATTAATCCGGGACACCTATCGACAAAAGCCTATAAATCTCCAAATATTCTTCCTTTCTCTTGGTGGAGGAATCGGTGCTTTTGAAATTGTTGGTCTTCTTTACTAAAATTCCCTATATTATCGCTGGTTTCAATGCCCTCTTAAAGCATAACCATGTCCTAAGACCAACAGATACTAAAACCAATTTAGATATTGGAATACATACCCACTCTCGCTCTGCTTGTAATTCCTCTTGTTTTCGCTTCTCATTGTGAGGGCGGGGATTACAATTCTTCGTTGAATCTTGGGTACATCTCTATTTTCTTCACAACCCGGGGCATGTCTTACCACTTCGACAGCATTTGCCAATAATACCGTCTTGTGGTACACACATCCGCAAGCCAAGATGTGTGAATATCCCCTTGAATTCTTCTACTTAGGTGAATAGTTTTGCCTCATCCGATGCCATCGCTATTTTTTGCGGGATTTTCCAGTAGTTGTTGCCTTCGACATAGAAAGAAGATCGTTTCATCTACCGCGGAAATGTATACTTCTGTTGACGATATGGAATTTCTTCAGTGGATGATCTTCAGCAAGCAATACACTCGACTGTTCATCTTCCGCCATCCACTCGATATACGAAAGTGCCTCTTCTCAGGCCTCTTGTTTGCTGTTACTGTTTGCCCTACATACGATTCACCATCTAAATGCGATAATATCTGAAAGAAACATATACCCTGCTGGAGGGTATCGCCGCAGCTCCCATTACGTTCCACATTAATCTAGGATATTCGCCCCACCCCAGGAAACGGGTTGTGGGATACTCTGCTCGTTGGATCTTCTCAAGTCACTCTTGGAATACTGTGTCATTATTTTCACTTGCAGGTAGCATTTTCAGTGTTCTTTTCCTATTTATCCAATGAGCTCTCTAACTGTTCTCAGATTTCTGAAATAATGAAGTTCATCTACATATTCACTTCAATGATTAAGTTATTCCATTATTCACAATAGGATAATTGTGAATACTTGTTGAAACAGTTCATGATTTTTTGACTATTTATTGCTTAGTTTTCTTCTGCTTTCAACTCTTAACAACTATTCACAGTACATCTATCTGTTCAACAAACAGTTTCTCTGACCTTTAAAATCAACACTGTGTCTTGACATGAGATACATTGCACACTTTTTCAACTCTCTCTCAATCCATATTATCTTGATACTCTTGTCCTTTAAGATCTAGTTCTTTTTGTGAGTCTCATCACTGGTCCAAGACTTCTACTCAAATCTCACGGAGCTAGCTTGTCCTCTCTAACTCCCTAGCTCTCCCAAACATTAGCTATGGAGACTGTAAAAACCTTTTCCACATCGAGAGGTTCCTCACCTAGTCCTCCTAAAGCCCCCCTGGACCACAAATTCCCCTCCCGTACCCCTGAAGCACGCTTACCCAGCGACGATCCCAGCAGCACGTCGCCTTCGCTGTCTCCAGTGCCATCCAGTACTGAAGCGTTCGATGCTCCAGGCGAGACTCCCAACGAGGAGGTTCTTCCTGTGCCTCCACGATTCACAGTTGTTAGCGACCCAGTTTCAACTTCAACGGTAGCTAACAGTGCATTTCCATCTCCATACTCAGCTGCCAGTGGACATAATAACTTCAAGCAGATCGTCATTCATACGGCTAAATGTGACAAATGCAACGATCACAACAAAGCCACCCTGAATCGTTGCACGACATGTGGCTTTCAGATCTGCACCCCATGCTGGATCCGCCGGGGTGGTGGGCATCACACTGGCACGAGGACATTTACAGGTCCTGTATTTGATCCCAATGCCGTGGACGACAGTATTGGCGATGACGAAGGAGATGTCGACGAACATGGGTCTGAAGAGGATGAGGTAATGATGTCTGATACCTCGAATGATGTGGGGGATGGTGATGGTGGAATGGTCATCACCACTGATAACACTGAATCAGGGGACGACGAGAGTGTGGTTAGCCTGCCAGGAAAGCCATGTATTGGAACACGAAGTGCCACTCGTCGTAGCGTTTCCCTCTCCTCGAGCTTGGCACCCAACAGTAGCACTGCTGATTATAAGGAATTTTCTGATCCGACCCACGTCGAAGACGGCATCGACAACGACGGGGGGAGAAATAATGACGGTGTCGTTTTCCTAGGTAGCAGGCCTCTCAATCACAATGCCGGCAACGACAATTACCACAACTACAACCGGTATTACTGCGACCTGACGGGCGACGCTCGCCAGCGTATCGATGCGCTCATTGTCACCGCGTCGGTGTTATTCCGCGACATGGATTCTAATCGTACAATGGTGGAGGTATCCGCCCTCTCAAGCCCACTCACCCCTCCTTTAAACGCCCCATACACAAACCAAACTCGGAGCAACCGCCTTTCGCCACCTCCAACACAAAACCGGGGCCAAGGGCTATTACTCCAAAGTCAACGAACCCTCCCTCCCCTCCCCCTCTTCGTTCTCATCGGCCCAGACGACCACCTAATACCTGCATGCAACGGGCATCGCTCACATCAACCCATCCAACCCTCCTATCTGACGGACATCTTCAGAGATCCTCTCCCTCCAACTCTGCGCATAAGCCATGTGCGGGAGGATCGAGGGTATTCGACAAATCTACCAGCGTCGCGCTCCTCCAACTCCACCTCACCTTGAGAAGCGGAGAGAGTCGCCTGACGACGCACCGGGGCGAGTGGCTTGCCAGTTTGAGCCATTGACTGGTGAGAGCACAGGTGGAGAGGGGGATGAGTAATGTCAGTGGGAGGCAAAGTGAGTTTAGATTCTGGATGCCTAAGAAAAATGACCTGGGTGAGATTGTGAGTGAGTGAGTGAGTCGCAAATAATAACATGGTTCAAAGCATGATAATCTGACGAGGGCATCATTTTTCTTTAAAGAAGGGGAGAGTGGGTTTCATTCTAGACTTGCTGTCTTAGTTCCAGCATGGGTTATTTGAGATCAGATGCGACACTGACTTCAAGTGGCCTTATTCCATGCTTGCTTTTCCCCGTAATTATACCGCTGTGTAGCTACAGAGTACCTAAGAATCTCTGACCAGTTTGCAATCAAAAGGAGAGACATATGAAGCGCCAGCAATTTTCCTGCTTCTGTGTAATTCTTGAACTATTTCTCTTTTCGTATGATATTTTTTCCCTGTCATCTCCTCTTCATGTCATGTTCTGTATGATTGTCAGTTTTTGCCTATTGATACTTGGCTTTGTAGCATCTCTCCTTTCTCAGAAGCTTTGTTTTCAGCCGTTGGAGATTCTTTGAATTCTTGTTTCTTTTTTGAAGTATACATCTTGTTCGTTTGCGTCCTTAGAGAGAAGTGATAGCAAATCCTTGCGTTTTCTGAACCCGAGTCCCCTTTTCGTTTGGACGAACATTGTTCGTGATCTTTGTTTGGCTGTCCTCTCTGGCCCTCTGCTCTCCCTGGCTGTTTAGGTGGCGTTCTGTCTTATTGTCAAACCCTGTCATATTTTCCACCTCCTGTTTTATTTTCTCTAATCCCCTGAGCTCCCCTCTCTTTCTGAAAGATATGATCTTATTTCCCTACCTGGACAAGTAAAAAATTGTAACATGGACACTGTTCCCTGCTTTCCTTACCTCCTTTCTCATTTCCTTTCCTTCGCTCTTTGCTCTTTTTTATTGGTCATCAGCTGTGGAAATGTTTCAGTTTCGTTAAATATACCTCCCACAATGAAAAAATCAAGATATATACAGCCTTCACTTCGCTTTTCGTCTTCGGCATGTGTACTGTATTCAAAAATTATGTACGATACACCTTGTAGTCTTGAGTGGTAAAGTTTAGTCCATGTTGAGATTCGCGGAACGGGGACTGGATATGATGTGATTTGAGGGTATGAAGGGTGAAAAGTATATACATATGTATAACATTGACTGGGGATAATCTTGGTAGTGGTTCCATACGAGAAGGGTGACTGCTCATTGGGTAGAGAGGTATAAAGTATATGTAGGGAACGAAGATCAAAAATGTATAAGAGGAGAAAGTAGAGAATATGGATAGTTAAAAGAAAAATGGTTTAAAATTACACTGTACATGAAGAAGAGATTGATTTACAGAGGCTTGCACAACCTCAGAATATGATCTTCAACTCCAACAAACGGGGGAGGGCCAGAATCTATCGACCAGCAACAGTCTTAGGTGCGGCGCTCTTGCTCATCTTTGCCGCCATCTGTAGCAGCCGTGCAGTGCGCGATGGATGCCAAATTCTGCTCCCAAGCACAAGAACCCATGTCAACAGGAATAAACTACCCGCTTGATGCGCTGAGGCAAGGTGAATGGGGACCAGGTATACGAGAGTCGAAATTCCTAACGAAGCTTGTAGGAACGTGAAGCCAACAACGCCATGCATGCCCTTCTTTGCAATCTTGGGTAGTAACTGTTTGACATTCTGCGAGAAGCGAGTATAGGCCCACAAGCCCATTACGGAAGAGAAGGTCGTCATGGCTAAGATGCGATGGTTGAGCTGGACGAGTGATGGGTTCTCGAGCATGTTGCGCCACCAGAGGTCTGATTTATCTGCTAGTCGGGAGTAGTGAGAGGAAAAGAGTTCAGAGGTGGGAGGCACGAAACCTTCTCCCATGTAAGGGAATTCGTTGTATATGAGGCCTGCGTCAAGGCCAGCGACGAGACCGCCGGACATGGCCGTAGCAAAGACGAGAAGGGTAAGTCCGGCAACGGATTTGCGAAAGATGCTGAGTTTAGGATGGCGAAGGGCGTTGAGGATTTCGATGCCCTTGGAAGGGTCTGCAATAAGGCGGTTAGAGCGTAGGATTGCCAACCCGTTCCACAGCATGGCGGTATAGCAGAGGAAGGCTGAGCCCAGATGTGCGGTTAATCTGTACTGGCTGACTCTGGGATGGCTACCGGGAGTGAAGAGGTCATCTTTCAGTCCTGACTTAACCATCCACCAACCAATGATGCCTTGAAACCCGATCAGGCCGGAAATTCCCAGTAATCGGATGGACATAGGCTTGGAAACCCTCTTGGTTGCGACAAAGTAGGCCGCTGGTAGAACAAAGGAGAGACCAACGAAGCGGCCCCATTGTCTGTGGATCCACTCCATGTAGTATATGAATTTAAACTCGGAGAGTGACATATTGGGCCTCAGGACTTGGTATTCAGGGAAGGATCTGTATTTCTCGAATTCAGATTCCCAGTCGGCCGTGTTGAACGGGGGTAAGGAGCCGGTCACTGGTCTCCATTCTGTAATACTCAGTCTGGTGTTAAAAACGTAGGTTAGCAAACGTCCTCTGTCTGGGCTAAACGAAACAGAAAAACAAACCCGGATTCTGTTAGCCTTGTTAAACCTCCAAACACAACAATGCCAAAGACAGAGGCAGCGCTTCCCAAAAGCCAGTAAGCCACAACTTTGCTGCTCACGTCGGGATATTTGGAGCTGCTGGCGGAGGAGCCATTCGTGGTAAACTTTGCAGCGGAAGAAAAGAATGATAAGTTTAATATTGAAAGGTCTTGTTTGCGTGTTGCTGGAAGGAAGGGGGCCATTCTGGTGCTGTTCTGGAAGCGGTGCATGCCCATCCATCTTCGCGAGAAGTTGCGGAACTGAGCTTGATTATGATGTAGGCATTGACTGCAGGTGAAGAACTCCTTTGAGAGACGGGGAGCCAGGCTCCTGAACATAGGAACAGCAGAGGCCATTGTGGTAGCTGGTAGCTCGCAATGGATCCCCCCAAAGCATGCAAGTCATACAGCAGTTGTATATTGGTAATTGTTCTCACAGCGTATAAATTGAAGTTGAGGTTGAATTCCCCGATGCTCTGAGTAATCTATCCAGCGCTGATTGGATACATTGACTAAGTTAGTTTACTCGATAGCCTCTCTCTTAGTCATCCGTTGCTGGTTGCCCAACGCTTTTGTGCCTGACGCTGAGTGTGGGCGGTTAAAAGAACAACGTTGACGCCGTTGTTTGGCCGCATAGAGGGGTCAAAATATGCCCATTGACAAGGAGTGAGCATGGCTGCTGCAGGGGATACATGTCCGCGGTGGGGTCAGACGTATCCCAATTGCTCTGTTGTCACTGTGATTTTCACCTGCTGGTCGTCCTTATGCCTTAACTACTTCTTATGCTCGCTGTTAAATGACTGACTGGCACCATTTCAACCCAAGTGAGGAATAACTCTGACTTATGGTTCACTCCGGTTGGAGGACCAGGCAGATATCTCTCCAACGTTCCTCCAGTTGCTCTCCCTCCTGTTGAATTTAAAATTACTACGGAACCTCACAAAATAAATTGCCCCCCGGGGGGGGGGGGGGGGGTGTGGTGGGATATCCCGCCTGCATTTGCTCTATTTTTGACTTCATCAGGTAAACATATGGGGCCTTGGATATTTACAATTTGTAAATTTGGCTTCTATTGCTCTTTTTCACCATTTCTTTATTCTTAAAGTATAGAGAGTTTGTTACTTAAGGCAAATGCGCAGGGAGAAACAGAAATACATTGATGAGTGGCAGAGGTTGATGCCTCATTCCATCACCAATGACAACCATCGCTATAACAACACTTTGCCGTTTTATAGCGATGAAGACCATCAAAATCATGATCCTTTCCAGAATCCCCCAAAGACTGTTGTCATCTCTCTCTGTAAGACACCAACAGCGTGTTTTCCACTCCAAACTCTCCAAAGAATGTTTGTTTTTCCCTTCATCCTCCGTCTCCTCCAAAACTCTCTTACCCCATCCAAGTCATTTCTGTCCCATCCAGGCTATCACTGCATTGATATCTTCTTTGTCAAGAGGCATATGCGTCACGCGTAACCGTAGGTTCACATCGCCTGCAAGTCCTCAGGTGCTTCCCAGAGTTATCCGCAGCCAGAGGCCTAGACGAACACCAGTCAAGGCCTTATCTGGTAGCTTGAAAACCCCATCATCGGAGTGGCTGAAATTGATGCGTTCACACCAAACGGTCGAACAAACTTCCGGAGGCATTCTCAAGTCCTGCCCCTTTGACGTTATATCTGCTGGAGCCGCCGACATGGACGCTGATCCATTCATATCCAGCTCGGCCACACCAACTCGTTCCAGCGATCACGGTAAGGTATTCTTCTTTCTCTTTTTAATGACTGGTTGTAATATCTTCGGCAGTAGGGGGACTTGATGAAACTGCTGTCCCAGCCACGAGCACAGTGACCACTCTGGCACCGGATGTGATATCTTTTGGTCACTTTGGAGGCTATGCACCAGATATAGAGATTTGGGCATTTGGTGCGATTTACCTCCTGCATCGTTTTATTATTGGACGCAGCCCTTACTTTTATGCCATGTTTGCTGCTGGATGGGCAGAAACTTGGGGACGGGCCATTACCATTTTTCCCACAGAGATGGATGGAAACATTACAAAGATGGGCTTTGACGTTGCGCTAGGGTATCTGTATGGCCGCTCCGTCTGCTATATGGCTAGACTTGATCCTGTCGGGGTATTTGCGACTTGCCAGTGGCTGGGACTCCCTGAACCGATTAATTGGGCTGGCCAATACATGATACGCCACTTAGATGACTCTACAATCCCTTATGCCCTTTCCATTTTCACTAGATCTTATTACGGAGTAGATGGAAGTCTGGTCCTGGAATCTGCCAAGACTATGCTTCGTTTACGTGGAACCGAAACGGATGTCATGCTATGGACTCAAATTCCTGCTGAGATGGTAAGAGAAATTGTTGGCGGTGATGACTTTTACGTTAAGTCTGAGTTGAAGAGGTGGGAGTATGCAGTGGCTATTCTTGACCACTCTCTAGAAGTAACAGCCGCGAAACTACGAATCCCCTTTTTGGACGACAGTCGCACAGCCCCTGATCACGTTAAGCGCGAATTAGACGGCATCCTTTCCGACCACCCTATGGAAGCTGACACGTCTAATGACTCAAACGCTGATAGCCAGTTTTCGGAGGACATACATAACCAGTGGTTCAGCCTTTACATGCACCCGGACGTTCTTCCAATCCGACAATTGATAATCGAAGATATTGGATATATGCACATTCCTTTTGCAAATTTCCGCCGCATTCAGTCGGATTGCGACATCTTCGGGGTGCACACTATTCAGCCTGCTGTACTGACATCGTCTATTTTGCAGGCGTTAAAACTTGGTCACCTGGTGGATAGGGCTGAAGGAGTCCGCCTCAAAATGAACAGTGGCGAAGTGGTGTTTCTTAGTGAACTCCCCGCAGTCCAGCGGTCACATATTCATCGCTTCCACTTGCAATCTGGGCTATCGCTATACTCCCAACCCGGGGGAGATATGATAACCCGCGAATATCCTGTTGTGAGTGAGGATAACGTTATAGCAGCTTTGCCAGTTACTCAGAAAGTAACGGGGCTTATTACCGAGGTGTGTAAGTATGGATGGCAGAATGGATACCTCAGCAATCAGATTGCTCTAGGATGGGATGGCTACCGATTTCCAGTCATGGCTCCTTCTCCTAAATATAGCCCATTCCCTCCATTTAGGTTCTGTGCTAGTTTTCCTAACCCCATCCAGCTCACTGATAAACAACGGCTGTTCTCAACCCCTTTCTGGTATGCGGGCGCCTCATGGACCATTTGTCTCTGGAATAGCCTCAACGACAAAGAGAGAAAGATAGGGATCTACCTGCGACGCATGTATGACGCCCGTCCTGTCGTACCTTCTTTTGACGCGTGGAGTGCGCAACTCAATCCTCCTCACCCCGACTACCATGATCCGCTTACCCATATATCCGGTCCTGACAACACATTTGCAAACGCTGTGCACGGTTCACATGGGCGTCTCCGCCAAAAGAGGAGACCAGGCAGGAATATAGGCACGCTCCAAACCGTCATGACCCAGTTCCCAAATTCCCTCGTGATAGCCCGCCGTGAAAATGATGTTGCTTATGAACTCCCATACACCGACTATCGCCCAACTGCCACTGCGTACTTCAAACTGTATTCCAATATCGCCTGTTTAGGACCTCTTGCCTCCTTCCAGAGCAAGCCAGAGTTGTTTCGACTCGATAAGTGCTGGGGGTGGGATGTTCGCGTGGAACCTAACATAGATCCGCTGTGGAATCTTTGTGGGAACCCACAGAGCGGGACGCAATTGAAGATTTGCTTGGTTATTGGTGAGCTGGCATTTTTTTATCTCTTTTTTTTGGGCGCAGGATGTGATCAACTGACTTTTATCCTTTGTTAGGTGTTGTGTGAAGAAGAAAAATCGTGCTATCGCTACCACCTCACCCCCAAGTGCCAATGGTGTTTCCATTTATTCCTTGAGTTTTAATTTTACTCTCCACGCTTTGATTCCGCTGATTCTCTTTCATGACTCCACTCCATTTTTCCATTTGCTCATTTCTGAAAGTCGTCCAACTTGGAAGACCAACCCTATTCCATGGGGGTGTTGAAATCCCCTTTTCCCTTCATTTTTTTTTCTTTTTCTTTTTTTTTTTTTGGCAGCGAATATTTCGCTCAACTAATTCTTCCATTTAAGTTGACTTACAATTTTCTGTTCCTCGGTTTTTCCTTCCACTTGCAACACCGCTTGTCTGACCGCTTCGCCCCGCATTTCACTTTTCCCTTATCCCCGGGTGAATCCCGCTTTCAACTTTTCCAGTTTCTGATGCGATGTCAACTGCATATGGGAAATTATACAGCCCTCTCTTTATTGCATCACTCCTAACAGGTTTGTTTGGCGAAAAGTCGCCTTCTGTCCTTTCCCCACTTGTCAGTTTGCCATCCCTGTGGCCACTAGTTGTTCCATGCTAATTTATTTTTTCTTCTTTCCTCCCCGATCCCTTTGTCGGCGATATCTACAACAATTCTGCCTTGTGAAGAAATTTGGCTGTGACTTTTTTTCTTGTATATGTCGGAATGCTCCCGCCGTGTGTTGCCCAAGCCGCTTTACTGTATCCCTTTCTACGAGATAGACTGGTGTTGATGTGCATGCTTCCTAGTGCAAACATAAAGGGAAAAAGAAGAAAAAGAGAGAGAGTTAAAATCCGATAAATACATTGCTTGAGTATATACCGGCTCCGTTCCAGTCATTGGAGATTGCACGAGAAAAAGAAATGATTAAGCGAATACAATTATTACAACTGCCCATCACAAATGACCCCCTAACTCAACTGCCCATAAATCCAACTCCAGACTCAACCCCAGGCTCACCATCCCATGTCTCCATAATCCACCTCTCAAAGGTGGGCAGGCTATGGAAAAGCCTCAAGTTTAACGTCAGTCGTACACGGAAACTCTCTATACGAGTAGCAGTAGCATGTCCGTTGAAACTACATATCTTCATTCCCTATCCCTCCACGCTCGCCCAGCGAAAACACAAACGGCGCCATGTCTCCATGTTAGCCATGAACAACCATCCCTAGGACATTGGTGATAAAGTTGAATTGCGTCTAAAAAGACCCGATGCGCCAATTGCAACTGTGATTTCCTGTCTAATCAATCGGATGCACCATCCACCAAATTATTCAATATGCCAGCCACCTCTAGCAAAGTTCTGAATCTCAAAAGAAGGTAGGCTTTTATTGCTATTAAAGCCTGTGAAATCAAGCAAATTTCAGCTATTCAAGTCATTGCTGTTAGGCTCAGCGCCCGACCGAGCCCGACCGAGGCCCGGGCCCGGTTAGACTCGACGTCGGATTAAGCTCGGCGCCCGATTAGGCCTAACCCTCATCACGTGACAACGTGACCATGTTGTTATAACCTGGGCAGGCCCCAGCACCCCCTTTCATCCCATCAAGCTTAGTATTCTGTTATATAGCAGTTAGCAACACAGAGAGTTTCCTTCTTATGCAGCTCGCATTCGCTCCCTAACAATTGCTAAGATGTACAATATTTCGCATTATACTTCAGCAAATAGATTAATAGTCAAATTTTATACACAATATTTAAATCAAATTGCCAAAAACTAATCTTTATAAAGAAGAACTTTTAGTTTGAAAAAAAAAAAAAATTTAATAAGAATTACCTGAACTAATAGTTTTATTAATAACTAATTAAATATTAAAAAAAATAAATTAGCTTTTATATAGTTGCAAAATACAAAAATAATAATTATATTTGAGATACTATAGTTAGATTAAGATTTACTTTTATTATAACTAATCATATTGAAAAGTTAGCTGTATTAAAGTTTAAAATATAGTTAACTAAATAGTAATATTTGAAAGACTAATTAATAAAATAATTTAAAACAATCTGAACTAATTAGTTATGAAAAAATAATATATATATATAAATATATATAGCTATAAAATATATTTAATAAATATGCTGAGACTTAAATAAATAATAAATATGAATTATTAACTATAAATAAATTTAACAATTATACAGCTAAATTTGATAAGTTTTATCTAAATTATATTATTCAATAGTCTTAACTAGTTATATATCTTTTAAACTTCTTTTATTTACTAAATGTAACGGGCTAGTCGCTGAGAACAGCTGAATAACTAGCGCTTATGAAAGCAGAACAATTGGCAACCGGCCAGGGCTACTTACCGAGGACAACGAGCTTGAATACGAAATAGAAGAAATCCTCAATGAACGAATGAACCACCGCCGCCAAAAACTGCTTGTGAAATGGACTGGCTACGCCCAACCGACCTGGGGGCCAGGTCCGCGCTGGAAGACACCGCCGCACTCACCGCGTATGGAGCTGCCTCGATAGCGCCGCTTCGATCGTACGAAAGGCGGAGCCTGATGAGAGTTAGGGCATAGCCCTTTACACTACAAATACTAAATTCTTCTAATTAGTTGTTGAATAATTAAGATAGCTGCTTATAGAGAGTAACTTATATTCAATAGAACAATATTTAAAAATCAGAAATATTATTATTTAATTCATATTGAATAAAATATCTATAGTATTTTAGTTAAAGCTAACTGTGAGTGAATTTCACGTATAAATTGCTATCAAATTTTAAATTGAAAATTATATAATTATTTTAAGTTTAGATTTAAATACTCATTATTTTTATTTTTTAACTATAAAGTTTTAGATATAGTTTTTTAATTATAAGCATGTTTAAATACTAAATTTTTTATATAATCAACTTATGTGAAACTTTATATTATAAATTTGTCATAGTTACTAACTCATATGTAATTATAAGAAAAAAATTTAAAAATATTAAAAATTAAAATATTATTATTATTATTATTATTATTATTATTATTATTATTATTATTATTATTATTATTATTATTAAAATATTAATTTAATTTAGATAATCAAAGTTACTATAAAATAATAGTAAAATTTTTAATTTAAAAATTATTATTTTTTTTAAATTAAAAATAGATCAGTTCTCTCAACAATTTACAACTTTAAATAATTAAATATTTTAATAAATATAAAGTAAGTAAATAAATTAAAACAAGAAAAAAATTTAAAAAAAAATCAATTTAATAAAAAAATAAAATAGTAGATGAGTAAACTACTTTTTAAATAACTATAAACTTTTTAACTTCAATTAACATTTTCTAATTCAACCATTAGATCTGTATCTAGATAAACATTTTAGTTTAAGTTATAACTAAAGTGAATTAAAACCCTTTTTCTGTCTTAGTAAAGTAAATCAGATTTAAATTGATATTTTTTAAAGAGTCAACTCTTGTACCTATATACTTTTATAGTATTGATAAATTTATATCTATGATCAGAGATGATAAAACTTAACTATATATATAAAATAAGCTTTAGAAAAGATTTTTATAAAAGCTTAGTATTTTATGCAGATACAAAGTTGAAGAATAGTAACTTTTTTTTTAATCATTATAATAACTATAATATTCTCACAGCTATTACAGTGTTATATTATGCCCCTTATGCTTACGGCAAAGGGCAGACATGAAAGAATGTGCAAAGCTTCTGCTGACGAAAGGCGTTGCAAATGGGAATTTGGCAGATGAAGGGCAGGGCAAGGAGTGATGGACACCAGTCGAAAAACAAACCACGACTGTCAAGGGAATGGTGGAGGATGAGCATGCCTCCTTGCTGCCTGGGCGGCTGGCAATTTATTCTCGTCCGAAGAAGAATGTTAACAGGTAGTTAACTAATTAACTAACTAGTCAATTATTACGGGAGGAATGGTCAGAGGCTGTTGCTGCGCAGATGATCGAAGATCCAAGCGCTGAAGGCCACTCGTTGCATCCAGATTAATGCCACCCCTATTTTACATTACTATTTATATACTTATTAAATTTTTAGCGTGGGAGATGAAGCATAGATTCAGGAAATTAATGTCATTGAATAAAACCAATCCCTTCACTCTGCTCAAAATGATCTGTGGTCCGAGCTGCTCTGGTGGAAAACTCAGCTGGAACGTTGAAAGTGCGTTGAAAACAATAAAGCTATGTACGCCGCATAGAAATCATCTAACTTGGTATCCAAAATACAGGGAAATGAAGGCAGCAAGCAGAGCAGGAAGATATTGAATATATATAAAGTTGTAAAATTGAGAAATCAGAAGAATTGAAGGTGTGCTGCTCACACTATTCCAACTTGGATTTAGTGGTGGAAGCTTTTGTCGACAGCTCCAAGCGACTCCCTCCTTTAAACCAAATTACCCCGCAAGGCCTGCTCGCGCTCGATAGCCTCGAAGAGAGACTTGAAATTGCCAGCACCAAAGCCGGAGAAGTTATGGCGCTGGATGATCTCCACGAAAACGGTGGGACGGTCCATGAGGTGCTGCAGTCATTCCATCAGCGTTGAATTCGGTGGTTATAAACCGGAAACACCGAGATATGTATATCTTACCTTGGTGAACAGCTGCAATAGATAACCCCCCTCATCGAAATCAATAAGAATATCCAACTTCTTCAGCATCTCAAAGTCCTCTTTCAGCTTCATCCCGCTGCGCTCCAGACGCTGCTTCATTTCTGTATAATACGTCTCGGGAACCTTGATAAACTCCACACCCCTGGCTTTCAGGTTGGTGATGTCGCGGATGATATCATTTGTGCGCAGGGCGATGTGCTGGACACCGGCACCGCTATAGAAGTTGACGTATTCTTCGATTTGGGATTGTTTTTTTCCCTTTGCCGGCTCGTTTATGGGCATTTTCACGCGTTCGTTGGGCGAGGCCATGACGATGGATTTCAGGGCGGAGAATTCACTGAATTGAGGTTAGGGGGGAAAACCCTTTCGATAGAAGAGAAACAGTTAGGGGGGGGGAGAGAGAGAGAGAGAGAGAGAGAGTGACGTACGTGCAGATATCTTTGTCGTCAACGGACCAGAACCGGTGGAATCCTAGAGCCTTCTCATAACTGAGATTCGTTCAGCAGGTCTTGCTTCTCCTTTCCCCTCCATCTGAACAAACATGCAGCAAGAAATCAGGGGAGAATCTTACTATTCGCAAACTTTCTCCATCTCCTCCCAATCCTGATTGCCAACGCAATGATCAACATGTTCCAGGATAACCGGAGGCAGGAGGCTCGAGAGGGGGTCTTTGGTATGCTCCTCACGGTATCCCGGAAGGAAAATGCCCTTATACCCAGATCTTTCGACCAAGGTATGTGTTGTATCTCCGTATGTCTGTATAGTAGCCACTCTGACCTGTCCCTGGCTGTCCTCCAGCGTCTTGATACTAGAAACAACCTTGGCCCCATTCTTCACGGCAGCATTAAACACGGCCTCCACGTCGTCCACCTCGAAGGCAACATCCTTGACGCCGTCGCCGTGTTTTTCGAGATGCGAATGGATCTCCGTTAACAGAGTTTGTTCCTCGGGGCTGAACTGCGACAAATCATCCAGCGACCTCAGGGGGGAAGTGAGGACGAAGGTGATATCACCGTTCCCAACGACATGCGAAGCGACGACTCTGGACCCGGTTTCTAGGCCTCTATATGCGATCCGCTCGAAGCCCATGCGGGCTGTGTAGTAAGCAGCAGCCTGTTTGGCATTTCCGACATACCAGTGGACATGGTCGTATCCCTTATAGCTGGAGAGGTCGTTGTTGTGCTGCTGGGTGTCTCTAGTGGTGGGTGGTGGAGAGACTGCGATGGGCGCCATGATTGTGATGTGTGTCCTTTATATTTTTTTTTTATATTTTTTTTTATTTTTTTTAAGTTTCTTTTAATCTTGCTAAATGAAACTCTCCAGCCTATAGATATGTATGTTTGTATCACTCCGCGTATATTATAAATGGCATATGAAGGGAGGACGAACAGCTGCAGAAACCCCGAATGACTGGCCAAGAGCTCTTTTATATATTCTCTAAGCGGGACATTCTACAGTGATTCTTATTAATAATCATAATAATCATCATAATCACAATAAACATGATAGTCAGAGATTGCATATCTCTATATATATATATATAACAAAAAAGCGGAACTTCGGTGAAACCTTGGAACCCTCCTCTTTGGAATCAATCAGCGTATTGTAGTTGTATAACCGCTCAGCCCGCGCACCAAAACCCACCCACGACCCAGTCGGCAACTGCCAAAACATCGAATTTTCATAGCCAACGGAAAAACTGCTCATTCCCATTTTCCTGTTTTTTTGCCTTCCTTTGTCTCGCCTTGGTCCATTCCTTGCCTGCGATATTCCCCCCTTACCATCTTACCATATCCCTTCCCTCCCCCCTCCTCTCCCCGGGCCCGTCCGCCCCATGAGCCAATGCTTTTTTCGCCCGCGATCCCGCCAACTGTGTTTGTCACCAACCTGTCGCCAACTAAAACCATTGCCCCTGGTCCGTTCGATGATGGCTAGTGTCGGCGCTGGGCCCAGCGCGCGGCTATTGCCGGAGGGCATTGCTGCGCACCAATCACCGGCCGCGCTGAGCACCGAACCCATCCTTGGGTGGTTGGCTTGGCCTGGCTCATAATCCGCGGTCTTCAACCCCATACAAAAAGTAGGTAGGCGGCGACTGCCCAGCTGGAAGATGGCCCGTTGCCGCTGCCATCTGCAGTTGTAGCTGAGAACTTTGTGATTGTGCACAAGAAGACCCCGAACATCGAAGGAGGACGGCCCCTGCATACCCTATAACTGTACCTATGACTGTAGCCCTATTACTATACCCCTATAACTGTAGCTATAACTGTAGCTATAACTGTAGCTCTGACTGTAGCCCCCTATTGCTCTACCCCTATAACGGTACCCAATAACTGTAGCCCTATTACTACATTACATCCCTATAACTGTACCTACTACCCCCTAACCCTAACCCTAACCCTATTACTGCATCCCTATAACTGTACCTGCTACTACTCTACCCCTAACCCTAACCCTATCTCCCCATAATCCCGTCTTGCTATCCAACATCTATATAGAAAATATTATACTGGATTGAAATTCATTTGATATAGCTACAACGACGTTAACAACAATGCCTTCCGCAACATCTGTACTCTCCGCAACCCCCTGCCTCTCCTCCAACGACTCCGCCGTTCTCCAGGCGCTATTCGACGCCGAATCATCCCCCGCAAACGCTTCAAACGGCATCCATCTCGACCCGTCCCTCCCCCAACAGCTCCCTGGCATATCTGCCAGTGATCTCTCAAAACTCCAAGCAGAGGAACTCGCTGCAATCAAGCCCTTGCAGCAGCGACAAGAGCCGCGACAACAAGATTCTGACCCCGTGGCAAATGCAGATGCAATCCGCACGGCCGTGTCACGGCTCACAGCCATCATCGACGAGAATCCGCAGTACCCGTCCGCTTATATAAACCGTGCGCAGGCCATGCGGATGCTGGTGGAGAGTAGCAGTCCCCAGAACATGGAGAATGCGGATTCATTGGGCAGTCAGATCTTCTCAGACTTGTCAACGGCGATATCTCTTTTGACTCCCTCCTCCTCTTCCTCCTCCTCCTCCTCCTCCTCCTCCTCGCCAGCATCATCAACGATATCCCTCTCACCCCTCCACTCCCGCATCCTTGCAAACGCACACACCCACCGCGCCTACATCCTCTACAGAGCTGCGCGATCCCTAGCTTCGTCGTCTGCATCTGCATCTGAATCCTCATCTGGCACCAACATCCACTGCTCCGACTCCACAGATAGACAACCTGTGTTTCCTCCCCGCAGCAACTCCGCAACAAGTCCGCGCAGCATCTGGAGGAGATGGAAGTATGGGATTTCCAGCTTGGCGGCGCCATGGGAATGACGTTGCTATGAGATGTCGGTTAAGACAAATCCGTATGCTGAATAATATGTGCGGCGGTTGTTGGTGTATGCTGATGAAGAAGGTAAATGTAGAGAATGGTAGGAAAAA